CGCAGGTATCATGCGCGCGTACCGTGTGAATCGTACGGAAACGATTTTCGAGCTCGTTATATTCAAGAAAATTAATGCGGTTTTTATTAATAATATATGTAAAGGTGAGCGCGATGTATGAAACTTCCGTGTGTTTTTATACAATATATTGTAATCGACCCAATCAAAATATTTTATTACAATATTTCGGCCAAAAAACAAACGTTGCGCAAACTAAAGTAAAAAAATATATAATAATAAAGGAACGAGGGAATCTCTGGCATCGATTAAACGCAGAAACATCGAGAGATCGAGGCTTGAAAATAATTACAAAACTTCTCATACAGACAACGAGACTTATCATATTAATAACATAATAAAATGTGTATATATTATACGAAATTGCATAATGTGCACACGTGCATGTGTAACGATGCTGTCAGATATGCGAAGGTATAAGTAGGGATGGGGGTCTATCACAGGGAGGCAAGAGGGAAAGGGAGTCCGCGCAAACAATGAAACGGTAATTCTTCCAGCTAATAAGTTAAAAACACACCGAATATTGCCTCGAGTAGAAGCCGACTGGTCTAGCTCTAGCTCAGAGCTCACGCGCACCATTACAATTCAATACATCACAATAACGCAACAAATGTTATAATATAAATTGTACGTTATATTATTATAGCATCTACGATGTTTCGCAGATAGGATACAATTTTTCGCGCGGCCCATAAATCATCTCGAAAATTGTAACTCGCACGCGCGCGCGCACATACATACAGCGTATATTATAGCATTATTATATAGCTATATATGTTATGTAGCATTGGGGGAGGAGGGGGCGGGGTGGGGAGCATAGCTTAATAAACCGTGCGGTTAACCGAAGAGCCAGACAAGTGTACTTATAAAGATAGTCGAGGCATATGCGCCAGGCCAGAGTAGTAGAGTGGCTGCTGCTGCTGCTGCACATCTCTCTTATATTCCCATAAACTTTTGCGAAAAAAAAGTCGGAGGCATCGCAAGCAGGAGCAGCAGCAGCAGCAGCAGAATAGCAACGAGATCTCTTTATGATTTTCATTTCTCGTGTTCCGCGCGCACAGACTTGGTATATCCTCTCGCTCTCGATGGGCATTATCCGAGCGCGTATATAGGCTGCTGCTGCAGCGCAGAGCCTACTCTCTTATATATACTTGCCCACTTCATCCATAAATGGAAATAACAACAGACAGCAGTAGCAGAAGCATGACACAGGCGCCCCTGAGCTTGGTTCTCGTTTTTCTTTTTTTTTTCTTCGTCTTCTTCTGCTGCTGCCTTTTGCTCTCGGCTCGCTCTCGTTTTCTTCTTATTTGCGAAGAATTATAACGGCGGCCTATTGAGTCCGGGGTCAAGGATACGCGCGTATACTAGTTTATTACACACGTATGGTGTAATTCAATTAATAGCAGCTGATATATATCATTACCGCGACTCGTCGCGTCGTAGAATTTTTTGGCATATACAACAATAACAATAGCCTATACGTTCCAAACATTATTATAGTACGCATAACATATATTGCGAAACAATGAAATTCGGAAGTTTCATTGTAAACTTGACACGAGCGGCGCCTACGTTATGATATAATGAAAATAATACTTACTACGCCAAAGTCAATTCAGGTGGGTAAACACTCGCACACGACTCGCGATCCCATATTTATGATATAATTTTCTCACAGACACGCACACAAGTTGATTCAGAAGTTCGTCGTAGATATCAGCGCTATACACTTCGCGGGCTCCGCTCGCGACTTACACGATGATATAAAGGAAGAAAAACACAGATAGCGGCGATCTTCAACGAGCCGCATCAAATACGACACGAGACGACTCTTCCGCTGCACTTGAATCGCTCCGCGCGAGCGGCGCGTCGCCGTCGTGTGGTCACGTCGATCAAAAAATAAGTTGAACGCGCGGGGGGCTATCGCATTAATTCAGCACTATATATCCATACTTAATCGATAAAATTCTCCGGACCCGTCCGCGCGCTACAGCGCACGCATCGATGAATCGAAAATTATTATCGCTGATCGAGTGTTTTTTTTGCCGCTGATGCTGCCGCTGATGCTGCATCTTCCATCGCGTGTGCACCGCGGTGCGTTTCATCGAGTTACGATATACTCATTATTCATCCCTGCGATATTATTGCGCGTTCCAGGACGGAATACCGTAATCATGGAATGAAATCTGGGTCGGTGCGAGGGTTCACATTTATGCCGCGTTATACGTACATACAACGCGTGACAAAAAACGCACACGATTGGTAGGTGGACGCGAACAAGGTCGCGAATTGACATTGTAGGATTTACGGATTTGTTTTTTTTTCTTTTTGCTGTTTCCACAACCCGTACAAGTCAATGACCATATTCGTGCGTAGGTGATCAACAGCGAAAGGAAATTGAATAAAAAGAAAAAAAGTAGAAAAAAACCACTCGCGTTCGTGTAAAACAGCTCGGAATTAATGTAGGTCGCAGCTTATGAATGACGCGACGTTTTATAAATATAATAAGCTCGAAGGAGGTGTTATACAATTATTAGAGCGCGCGCGCGGTTCGTTTGAATATATGATCGAAGCGCACTAGGCGAAAATTATCATGTAAATCGGACAGAGAGAGAGAGAGAGAGAGAGATGAGTAATGAGTAATGGAGGTGCTAAACGGTTATTTCTTTGCGCCGTACGCCGACCGACTAATTAACAAGGAGATAGCGCAGAGCGCCGTGAGTGAGTGAGTTGAGCTCAATTCACTATGAAATTTCATTCGACAAGGACGCGCTCGCGAACTTCGAGATTTCCGTTTTTTCCCTCGGAACTTCTACTCGATTCTTTAACGAGTTCTCGTTACATCGAAAGGCTTCATTTGGCTTATTACGACGGAAAGTATATTCGTCACGCTCTCGTTAAGTAGAAGACGAGGAAGAGGAAAAAAATGGAATTGGCATATGATTTAATTCAGCAGTGAAAGTTGATTATGAGTATTTACACTGGTGGAATCTCCGCGCGCGCATAGATGCTATTATATACTCGAGTCTCCGCGTGGCTGCGCTGTATATACAGCAAAATGCGGGCGGCCAAAGGAGGAGGAGGAGGAGGAGGAGGAGGAGGAACTAGTGCATACATATCTAGGGGGGAACGTGATGAATAATCGATGAGGACACGCTCGTAGCGTAGCGATTCTAAAAATCGACGACGTTTTCGATTTTGAATACGCGATCAGTTGCTGCTCTTATACGTTGCTGTCGCCACCGCAGCCGCCGCCGCCACTGCAACAGTCGCAGAAATCGCCTAGACCTCCTATCCTCTCTGGCTGCGCCTGGCCTGGGCAGGATCGTAAATCACGCGTGTGTAGCGCACGTTATATGCACACGCGCGCGGACGAGGCGGCGGCCAGTGCCTACAACTACCACTGCCGCTGTTGCTGCTGCTGCCAGGAGCGCGTGGGAAATTCGCCATCCGGGTTTTTGTGGTATATAAAAAACTTGACCAGAGCCGGAAGTCTTTGTCGCGCGATCTTTATACATTATATCGAGTATATTATAGCGCTGATAATTTTCGTTTGACAAAATTCGCGTCGCCCATGAAGAACGAAATAGACATCTGTAGCGCAGCTGTATTATAATGCGCTCAGGCTCGTATATAGCATAGAGCACCACGGCACACGTTTACACGTCCAGATTTGCGCGCGGGGAAAGAGAAAGTACTACCACTATGATGCTGCTGTTACATGCGGATGACTAGTGTAAGTGAGCGAGAGAGAGAGAGAGAGAAAAAATGTTCGATCACGGCAAATAATTTGTCGTGAGAGGAGAGATGCTACTCTTTAAAGCACAACACAAAGAAAGTTGACACGCGCGCGCAAGCGGCTATACGCTATAGAGTACACTATTCGCGACATCGTGATATTGTGTCGCGCGCGCGCGCGTTTATTGTCGATCGTTATTGCGATATCGTCGCAATAATTTTCAGCCTAGTCAGTTATTGGTGACCGAACGTCTGTTTCTTTCTTTCCCTTCTTTTTTCTTTTCTTTTCTGCTGCTTTTCGACTCTCGAGAGTGTGTGTACGAGGCAACAACACGTATACTTATCTCTCGAGAATTAAGCATGTGTACTAGTGAGCACAAATACAAAAGGTGAAAGTTCGCACCTCGTTGCCATGCTTATATGCTCGTGTACACCGCGGAGGACCACGGCCGATCTTTCACACAAGTGTCATAATGCATTATTACGTCTGTTTTATGAATTCGAATAGAGAAAACGCGTGACAAAAATTAAGTGCGACCCATCGGGGAGGCCCGTTACACCGCTCGCTCGCCCAGGCACGTGCTTCCTCGTCTGACGTACGCGCGTTAAGAATTTATTAATTTTTTAATTCGACCTGGTGGCGGCGGCCCGTCAAAATACAAACACCAAATCGAGAAGCGTCTCATTATAATAAGTTTAGTGCCGATTGTTCACACAGAGAGGCTCGAGCTCACGTAAGATCGGTACATTTGGAATTCCGCGTTCGTATTCGTATGTATATAATAATAAACAATCTATCGTATCCCCATACAAGCGATATCGTCCGCGTTTGTGACAAAGTTTTTGCGCCCGCTCCTACGGAGATACACACACATATATTTACAAAACGGAGTCACACACAAACACTGCGCCGTTATAAAATAGTACCGTTGTTATCTATCCGATTGAATAATAATAAAGGCACCCGTGACTGGCTTTACCCACATGCATGCATATTACACTGCAGCAGCAGCAGCAGCAGCCATACGGCGAATAATCTATTAGAGATACACGCGCTCGGCCGCGCGCGCACACAACTCCTAATAATGTGCAACGCGAGCTCCTATTACGTGCCGTATCAGACCTAGGAAAAAGATTAACTTGTTTTTTTTTTTTTTTTTTTTACTTCGCTTCATACAACTTCAAAGCCAAGGTTGAACGAGGAAGAGTAATGGATGTTATTTTTTTTCGCTCGTGTTTTGCAGGACGGCTGCTGCGGCGAAGCAGTGAGCGAGGAAGAAGGTGGAGGAGGCGGAGGAGGAGGTGCAGCAGGAGCAGAGGCGGTGGCCACCAGCAGCAGTACTGCAGCGCATAGATCGCAGCGGCTGCATCATCGTAGGCACGCGGACGAATAATACGATGCAGAATCGGTGGTACTGATCTTCTCCTCTCCGGCGTTGTCGTCGTCGTCGTCGTCGTCGTAGTCATGGATTCGCACGTCGGGCTGGACTTCATCGTCGATAATCCGGATTACTGTCACAAGCTCGCATCTGGTAAGAAGAAGATGAGATATGCAAAATTAATAAAAAGAAATAAAAATTTGTCTATCATCCACTTATTGCGCACATTGACGGCTTTGATCGATGTGTCGTTGATTGATAAATTCATAAAATACACGACGATGACGATGCTCTGCTTTTCTCTCTTTAGCTTTGGACACAACGAACGTCCGGGTGAAGAAGCAAGTTGTTGAGCTGCTCTCGGCGCTCTGCGTCTACAGTCAGGATGGCCGGCAGCGGGCCATCGATACGCTCGACATTTATCAGGTAAATTGCGTAGAGATAATTAATTACGTAAAACGAGGTGTGTAACGCGGAAGCCACAGCAGAAAATGGCTATCGCCGGCTTCTAAGCCATTTTTGTTTTTGTTCGCTGTTTTTTTTTTGTCGTTCGATTCGCACTTTAAGGTATACATAATTAACGGCGAGTACATAATAGGGCAAGTGAATATCGCACTTATACACACACTCGACGACGAGTATTTTTATCGAAAATTGCAAAATAACTCGGTGGTACACAAACACCGCGCCGAGTGCGCCTTGATAAAAGATCCGTGCTGTATATATAGCGTTCGGTTCTCGCGATTATAGTCGTACACGAGACTTGATAATCTTACAAAATCTCTCGCCTGGATCAATATCGCGTTCTCTCCTGTGCACGTAGAAATACGTATTATATCTAACGAGGTACTTTATATATAATGTAATACTCGGTATATATAAGTTGCTCGCGGCAATTAACAGTCAATAAATTAATTACGCCCGATATGCGCACAGGGCCGATCACTGGCTGCAATAGCCGCGGCGCGTGCAAGTTCATTGCGATATTGCACACACACTATGTTTTCTTTCAAAATACGCTGTATAGTTACGTACGCGCGCGCTCTCGTAAAAACGCTTTGTTTATATTATTTTATATTATACTTTGCAATAAAAGTGACTTCGTGAAAAGTACCTTCGCTCGAGATCGATTTATTTAACTTCGAGCGACAAAACGATATTGTATTTAATACACATACCGCGTGTATTACGGGTGGCGCCTCGCGAGACAATATAACAACAACCGAGCGAACGAAATCACACTTGACTCTCTCGAGCAGCAGCAGCACCGATCTCCGCTGCAATCATATACTTGAACGCGCATACTACGTACATATATTGCATTATAATCCTATCATTCATATATAGTACTACATGCGTCTGCGTTTGTATCATTGTGTTTATATTAGAATCGCAAAGAGGCGCGCTACCGTCTGCTCGTCGTGGTGAACGAGCTGGGTCAAGCTCACGACTCGGAGGATTACCAGACGGCCCTGCTGGCCTTTATCAACTGCTTGGTCATATCCGCGCCCGGCCTCAAGGACAGAGTGCGCATGAGGAACGAGTTCATTGGTGAGTATCGTGTGCATCCCCCTGATGATCCTCGCGTACTTGGACAATAATGCACTCGTGGTATCGTAGGTTCGATAGACAAAAAAAGGGAGCTTTGCTGTACGCTGTATATCGATCTAAACCGTGTATACATCATCTAGAAGGTGTAAATTATCTCGCGTGCAGAGACAAATTTTTTTTCTGCTCCTTTCGTTCGATATTTAGAGCTATTGCACGTATGTAAGCGCGTAATCCGATCCGAAGGGTAATAAAGTAGGTCTCGAGCTCATGCATTTCGCGCATACGTAACATATTATAATACATTCGTGCCTTCTCTCTCTCTCTCTTTCTCTCTCTCTCTCTGTCTCGCTTGCGAACCTATATATAGTATATATAGCGACAATTCTCACTCTCTCCTTGCGCGATCTAGCCCCCTTTGTTCGGGCTCTTTGTAACCATTGGCACAAAATGCACTGTACAGCTCGCGCGCGTACTGCGCACACGTATATAATGCACCTTTGATAACCCGATATATATGTTATACGTGCATAAATAACAACTTGTCACTGTCCACGGTACGGACGACATACTCGTCAAGATTTGAAATAACTCGGCTAAATGCGCACAATGAAAACATACATCCATTTGGCCGAGTGTGCAATTCACTGTGTCTTTCAAAATCATCTTGTAATTATTTTAGATTTTTATTTTTTTCTAATATCTCGAAGGAATCGACGCGGACAACGCATATACTATACACGAGCTATAAGGCATAATACTGACGATACTTTGTTTGCTTTACAGGCCTGAAACTCCTACCGATTCTCAACGAATTACGGTGAGTATTGCTGCTATATATGTATATAATATATACGGCGCGCGCATTAATAAACATATACGTACGGAGAGCTCGACGCGTAATAGGATAAAATTGAAATCGATGTGCAAGTGCGTGCATGCTCGTGTGCATATGCGTACACATACAGAGTGTATGGATGCATATAGACCTGCAGTTATAAAAACGCAACTTATACACATATACACGCGTACGCGTACGTAAGGCAGTGCAGTGCGCAGAGTACGGGATAATATTTCAAATTGGCTGAGCATATGCGCTGCCGCTGATGCCGATGCTGTTGCTCAGCCTCCTATATACAAACGCTATACTGGCTCATTTAAAATTCCAATATGACGCGATCGCTGACATTTAATTTTCCATAATTAACTTTCGAGAGCGCAAAGATATACGCAGAATAATCGGGGCGTCGAGTTGTAATACGCTCATATACATAAGAGACTCCAGACTGCACACACACACAGATACAGCAGCAGCAGCAGCAGCAGTAGCAGTAGTAGTAGTAGTAGAGATACGATGGTTTAACCACAGCTTTTTGTTTGAATATTTTCGAGAATATTGCGATTGCTCCGCGCGGCTCGCGAAAGTTTTCGGAGTAGCGCGCGGGACTCTGATTGAAAAACCATGTTTATCTCGAGCATTGAAAAGCCCTATATATGTATGTGTGAGTGTGAGTGTGTGTATATACGTAACGCGTGCGACAATGGAAATCAATCGGTATAAAGAAAGTCCGAAGCGCATCGATTCTCGAACCGATTGCTATGATAATATAGTTCAAGCTGTTAGCGAGCAGCTTAAGTAAATTTTGTCTTTCACCGAGGAAGCGTTTGTAGGGTATCCACCGTGCGATTACTATAAAGACGTAATTCGGAACAAATCATGGAGAGAAGTTGTATATTTTCGGAAACAAATGATCGAAAAAAAAGAAGTAAAATGGAAAAAAACGAGAAAAACGAACGACCTAAATCCAAGGCTCGAGCAGCTATGGACGACGTTCCCCGCCGTAGTCATCGACTCGTGTGTGCCTCCGCTCGAAGAAAGCATATCATGGAAAGTGCCGTCACACACATTCGCATAAAAGACACATCTCTTTTGCTCGTTTCTCTCTCTCTCTCTCTCTCTCTCTCTTTGCGGCGACAAAATAGACTCTCGCACATTCCTAGTGACCTTTAGGCCTAGTACACTATGCAGCTTGCAAGAAAGAGAGAGAAAGAGAGAGAGAGAGAGAGACGAGGAGCGGCGACGCACAGGGAAGAGTCTTGGTCGTCGTCGGCGGCGGGCGGGCAGAGAGAAAAGACGAAATTAACCCGCGAGCATCGTCGCCGTCGTCGCCGGATACATACACTCACACGCGTATAATGTGCACCTGCAACGACGGTACAGTAGTAGCAGTAAAAGCCAACTCGAAGCCGGCCGCAAATCGAAGAGCTTCCAGCTTTTATGTATGCGGAGCCTCGTGCGGTACGGCGCGGTGCGCGGCCTTAGGAGCTGCGCTTCGAACTTCAGACTCGCAGTTGGAATCCAAACGCCGTACGCGCAAGTAGCGTAGCAGCAGCGCGCGACTCTCGAGAGCGTCTCGAGCCGATATTATTATATATACTGCCTCGCACACGAGACAGAGAAAGAGGAGATAGCTGCTCTGGCTGCGCGTCGAGCCTTATCGTAATAGTAGTGCGCGATGCGCGTTTTTTGTGTCTTGTGTTTTGCTTTTTGCCGAGTGTAGAGAAAAAGAAATATATTCAAGTGCACGCGAGATAAAAGTGACAGCTGCTGCCCTGCACGAAGAGATTCGCAGCTCGCGCATGGGAGTACTAGCTTTTGGGTGTGTGTTTGTGTCACAATTATATATCCATTACCGATCTTTACTTGGAATCGATGAATGTATGCGATATTCTAACGAAAGGGGACGACGGCGACGGCGACACCATGGGCAGAATACCTAAACACTACGTTTATTGTTATTTGCCTCCTTTTTTCCGATAGAAATAGAAAAAGAATTCGGACTTGTGCGCCGATACACTTTTATCTTTCTCATTTCTTTCGCTCTTTCTTTACTCTCTTTCGCGTGTTTAGAATAAATTTCCCTTTGGCGCTGCTCTATGGAGAGAGAGAGAGAGAGAGAGACACTAGCGCACATGGTTTACATATGTTTTGTCGCTGCTGCCCGTGGAGAAGAAATAAAAAAGCCAAGAGAATGTCTACTATTTAAAAATAGCCGATACTTAGAAGTCATTTTCGCCAACTAAACGAGGAGCCGCTGTCGCGCGCATACAGAGGCTTAACTTATAATATACATTGTATATAAAATTCGAACTCTGTGTGTCGCGCGGCTCTCGGGATCGTTCGTTGCGCGTGTGCTACATTATGATAGAAAATACATAAGAATATACGTATGCGAATCGGTGTCCCGTATCTCTCTCGCGCGCAGGCTTAAAGTAGGGGTAATTTCTCGCCTCTAAATTTGTCATCCTCGCTTTTGTAAAGAGCCCAGTCATTCCACCAGCTATACGCACACACCGGGCATTTGTATATTTTATTATAATATATTTATACGTGTGCATGTGTGCGTGCGCACGGCTTTTATCCAGTGTCCGGAATTTATTATGATATTACGATAAATCAAGCCCTGGAGTAGCGTTAAGGCTTACGGTATACAAATAACGAAAAAAAAAGAAGACAATCAGCTGCTCTGATTATTCAATTATTCGCGTATACTCGTCGGGCAGCGCAAAGCGGGATCGTCTACACATAGCCGCGCGCACGAATGAGTACGTAGATATATACGCGCGCGTATATTTGCAATTGAACGTTACGGGAAAGAAAGTATGTGTATGTGTGCGTACACATTTGCGTACGGTAGTGCGGTGCGTGTGCGGTGTATATAAGCGAGGGACACGAAAATAAGCGAAAGCCTATAATAATCAACTCGTGGAGCTCGCGCGAGAAATGCAGTGATTCACACACATACATACATACGTATACACACACCGAGTTATATAGCACAGGCACTCATGCACACACGCCGTACGGATCTCCGTGGGTTTATATTTAAAATGACCGCCCTAAAATAAGTGGTTGAAATTTCTGACAGATATACATATGCATGCGAGTATACGACGACTACGAGAGGAGCGCGTACAGCTCCGTATATAAGTGACTCCCATGATGCTGCTGATGATGATGTTGTTACATTAAACGGTCATTTGAACATTTTTGCACTCGTACACACATACAATCGCTCGTTTATTATAACGATCACAACGTTAGAGAGAGAGAGAGAGACCGAGATTACTGACCCGAAATTTTACAACGGTACAACGATTAATCCTGTCAACTCGCCGATCGTTAATCATCGTTATATATGATTTGATTTTCGCTTGCTTTCCGTAAACATTCATGCGAGCGGGTGTACAACGGATTCGTTTTTACGAAAAAATTCCTTTAAATTTTAACGCCACTCGATCAAAATCAGTTTCATAGTATTATGAAATATAAAAAAAAATACACCGACCTCAAACGGTATGAGAAAAATTTGTGCGTACACATACATCCTATAGATGTCTATAATAAACGAGTCAATCGGCCAGTAATTCGATATATGCAAGCAGACACACGAGCAGAGAGCAGTCCTCCTCGTTGTAAAGCAACAAACTCGATACTCACGGTCAATTTCGTTCAATCATCTATTTGCGCTCACGCACAATTTATCTTCTTCGATATTATATATATGAACATATTTGCGCGCATTGCGAACAATATAATACAATCTCGCGTTATGCGTATACGGCTCTCGCTCCGATGTACATACGCGCGAGAGACAAAAGGAAAAAGTCGAAAGTCATAACACACTTATCGGGCTTGGAATTAATTCCTTCTAAAACGACTCTCCGCGGCAGAGCTCATCTTATAGAGGCGAGATGAGGCCGCTCGTTGAACTCTAATATCCCACTTATAATAGTATAATGGTATCGATAAGTTAAAAACGCCGTACGCAAACATGCGTATACGAACGCACACATACACACGAAAAAGGCCAACTAAGACAATAAGTCGCCTTGTAATCACAATGTACAGTCTCGCGGCGAGCTTCTTTTCGTTTCATTTTTTTTTTTTTACCTCTCCGTTATGATCGCTGCCGATGCAATGGTGGTGGTGGTGGTACCGCAGGTACGGAGATACAGATGCGCGGTGGCGTTGAGTAACGGCGGCTCGTGCGCAGTACACACATAGGCGCAAGCACACACGAGTACTTATCGTCGTGCATGTTTTTTAACTGCGCTCATCCGGCGCGGCCCATACGTATGTACGTTCACAATTCGACGCGACGGCCGTATAATAATACGAACGCGTGTGTGTATATGCGAACGAGCGGGTCCCCATAGGTAATACAAAACACCTCGTACCCAGTCCATTATTCGAAGCACTGCCCGACGTACGCGTCGTCGCGCTCTGCCCTCTGGAGTGCATGCGTGCGAGTGTCAGTGTGTGTCTGTGTGTATATTACAATGTGTGGTGATACGTGAAAAAATTCGTGAAAAAAAAATAAGAGGCATTAATAATGCATATGCTGTTCTGTACCGGTGTCATTAGAGACGGTAAAAATCATGCTGTTTTCAGCAAGGAGAAAAATCACGTTCCCGAGCTGAGGGTGCAACTCGATGTCTTCGACGATCAGCGCGACACCGATGAGGTGCTAGCGAATCAAGGACCACCGGGCATCGATCTATCCTCCCACGTCGATGTTTTCTATGCGATTCTCGGACAGGTGAGTTCGAATTTCATTGATTTTTCTCTCCTTTATTTTTTGCCTTTTTTCTGGCCGTTCCACGAACGAATATTTTTTAAGCCAAATAAAAACCATCGTAGATATGAATCGGCATGTGTTCGCACTTATATACGATTACATCGAGGTACAATGGAATGGCAGTAACGAAGGTTGCTTCTCGTATGTAATAATAATTGTGTGTATGTGTATGTGATGTCATTATGACGTTCAAGGCGTAATCCCTCTTAGCCATAAACATTAGGGCTTGGCACTCGCCTATGCATGTGATTAGCATCGCATTGTGTATATGTCTGTAATAATATGTAAGTTGGCATTGCCAAGTAGCCCGACGACGAAAGGCCTGCCGATACACTGAGGCATTGAGACTACTGTGTTTTCTCGCTTTTCTTGATTTTTCATTAGTTTTTTTGTAATTCTACGGCTCGCAACAAAGATGTTTTATGCAATAGTATGACGAAAAATGTCTTTTTTCGCACATTTTTTAGTGCGCAAAAAGCGTTTTTGGGCACTTGTGTGCAGTAAAATGCCTCATTTTGGACAAGGGTGTGCGGTAAAACGCCTCATTTAAATGAAAGTATTTTTCGTCTCCTATTGCATAAAATTTTGTATGCAACACGTGCCCAGCTTTTTGCGCACAGTGTGCGGAGAAAACACCCACTCGTGCCGGCATAGCCGGCACTCGTGTCTTTTTCCGCACACTCGTGCCCAAAAACGCCTTTTGGGCACTTGTTACATAAATAACTATTTTTATATACTCACGTCCAAAACTAGTCGCGAGTTCACGCGGTGCGTGCGTCTCTGTTTATCGCATGCTTCCACAGCACTGTTGGTATATATATTTAGGAGCAGGAGAATAATGACAAACACGTTTTACGTACGCACCTCGCGAAGTTAAATACGCTGGTGTATACGCATGCCGCGCACGCGTATCGCACTTACCATACCTACCGCGTATTGTACGGCATTATTACGCGTGACTCACTTGACCGCGACTCCTTTTTATCAAATGTAAAATATATATTTTAGTCCAGTGTATGATAAGTGTCGCGCCCGGCGCGCGAAGAATTTATCTGCAATTAATTTTCACGCTTGTCCCGGTGTACGCTGAGCGGCATTGTTGTCGAGCCCGAACAAAATGTGTGAAGGATTTTTTTTAAACAAATTTTTATTAACAATGTTTCTCCAAAATTTCGGATCAATGATATCATTTTGTCAATTTCACCGTTTTTGAAATATTTAATGGATTTCATTAAAATACAGCAGCACGTGTTGATTTTATGCGTTAATTTTTAATCAACTATTAAATTATTTATAAAAAACAAAAGAAAATAGTCACTCAACAACTGAGGTGCAAAATATTCCTAAGTAAATCGTCTGCTTCGTACACTTGTTGCAAAATATATCACGTACAAAGTATAAATTAGAGAAAAAAAGTTATTGCGAAATGTAAATATATCTAAATGCCGCTACATATGACATAGCCGTTTTTATTATCTGAAAGAAATAGTTTCAATTAAAATCGTTTCATAATTTCAAGACCCTTTCATGCGTGTAAAAATTAAAACAAATTACAGTGCTACAGGTTTCAAAATTTAATTCTATAGTTGGTCCAGCAGTAATTACAAAAGGCTTTATAGATCTCATCATTATGAATAATAACATGTTCCGTGAATTTGGCGAATGAACTTTATCATTCATTCCACAACTTTAGTAAAATAATAATTTGATTATTAAATTATCTTAAATAAAAGTGAATGACTTACGCTCAAAAGTACCTTGAAGTGTAAAAATCCTCACTAGCGATTGTCAAGACTTGACTAGGAATACAAATAAAAATCATAGTACACAAAGTCATACAAAATGCAAACAACATTTTTGCTGCTCCTGTCAAATCTGTTTCCAATAAGATTACCATCTATATTCATAAAAATATTCGTTGAGTTGAAAATTTCAAATCGGTTAACCAACTCAAAACATACCGCGGTACCCGACAAGACAATCATGCAACTACAACCAACTATAATAATCATCATCACTGGGTTACTCAATTTTCGTGCCATAATGTAGAAACTAAAATTTACAACGATTTAAAAAACAGAACGGATCTTAATTATACTACTTAACTTACTCGATACAAGTTTGATGCGTACGAACTAAATCTTTAAGTTGATTGCAAACCCATGTATTTGCATTTTTTTCATCAATCGCCACTTTTTCGTTGTATGCCTCATTCATCCTTTTGAAATTGCATCTGAAGTATAAATTGAATGTATTTATCAAAATCTTTTCATACATTGCACTCAATTTTAAACGTTTTCCTGCTATTATTACGTACTGTAAACACCGAATTTGACAAATAATAAAAATGATACCCCAGCAATGGAAATAATTCAGGGATCCCATTAATAAACTCTAAATAAATATTAAAAATAGTTGAGCTGCAAAAATGTGATAAAAGTATTCATCTTTATCGACGAAAAATTCTGTGTGAAAAGGAAGTGTTTTTTCAAAAGTCAGATTGCCTGAAATTGACCAAGTCAAGAAGGACGGAATAGCTACTGGAGCTATTCCAAAACTCATACACAATAGAAGTAACAACCCTATAAAATATCGTAATAAATAAATTTAATTCAACATTTTACTTGTAAACTGTAATTGCTGACCCGCTTGAAGATTGAATATATAATATCCTTTTTTCATTAATTTCATCATCATTTCTTGCATATCCTCTGTATTTGCAGACCATATTCTACACATCACTATTAAGTTCATATATACCTTATTTTTATTTGAAATAAAATAAAAAATATGCATTATTACTCGTTTGAAAAACAGTCTAGAAAAAAAGGTTTTACCTGTCTTTTAGAGCTTATCAAAAACATGTAAGAAATCATCATAGTTATAAAAGCTACTAACTGAAGTATTACTTCGATAAAGGTGCTAAATTGTATCACATTTTCTTTTTCATTGAAGAGTTCCACTATCTAAATAGATAGCGATTATTACTGATGGTGAAGTTTGTGATATGTTATAAATACGTACCTTGATGGGTAACGAAAGAAGCAAGCATAAACATAGGGTAAAATTACCAAGTATTTGCACGATTTTATTTTGGAAAGGGTATAGAAACGTAATATTGAAGATCCTACTGGTCCATGGAAAATTCTTTTCCCAAAATTTTATAGTTTTTTGAAAATTTTTGTAATCAGGATCTATTCTAGGATCCATCTTAGTTTAAAACGATATGTTCACGTGAGAACGTTAAAATGCAACAGTTACATGCGTACCGTACAAAACTACAAAAGTATTTAAACGATATAAAGCATTACAATACTTTGCGAACTTGGTCAACTGCTGTTGAAATTTTTATAGACTTTTTGCCGCCCTTGAATGTTTATTAAATATGTTGTCCTACTATTATTTCACGGTGGGGTATAAGAAATGAAATACACAATGCACTTACTAATTCATAAGCATTACTTTTTTACATTATGCGTTTTTTTCAATTTAAATAATAAAAATTTTTGAATAATTTTAAATATCTCACATTTGAATGTCATGGTCATATTTGAAGCTCCCTAAAAACAGCGGTTTACATACATTTATAAAAATTTGTGTATGTATGCATCAAAATGTATACTTACACTACGATCTTTAAAGTGTACCTATCTAAGTATACCGCGGTTATACTTCTAAACGCAGCGACACCGACCTGGACATCATGCATTACGAATCAAAACGCACATCTTGCAATCGACGTGTAATTTCTGAATTTTATTCTGTTCTGCAGGTCGCCGACACACCGCAGGAAATCGCATTTCTGAGCCTGCTTCAGCATCTGCTGAGACTCGATCCGAAAGAGCCGGCAAGCGATCTTGCCTGGGACACCGCCGAGACGTTGGTCCATCGCGCAACTCTGCTCGAGAGCCGGGAGGATGCCACCAAACTCCTGAGATCGCCTAGCTTGCAAGTAAGTCGGCTCGGCAAAAATAGTAAATAAAAAAAAGCTCCCTTTTCTCAGCCGGATCGTCACACGTGATTGCCACGCCGGTCATTCACTGCGCCGTTCAGTCACCCCGAACGAGAAGCTTCGCGTACTTATTACAAACATATCTAAAAGCCATTAGGCAGTCCAATAGGTAATAGAGTCCAGGAAACATTTAGTTTTCTATGTATCTTTATCTCTCTTTCTCTCTGGCACGGGCGGATGACTTGTGAGTCGAGGCACAGCCAAGTGAAAGGAGGTGGAAAAATACGAGATACATTTGTATGAATGTACGAGATGCGCGTCACATACATCTCGCATTTTATCGGCCTGCATTCAATTATTTTTTTTTCTGCGTTAATATCGCAAACGCAACGTATCGCTGGTATATATAATACCGCTCGGAATACGCGTCTATGTATACGTTTTGTTACTGCCCTGCAAATTATATCGCTACCTCGCGCTTTAAAGGCTAGGCAGTTATGGTTTAGTTCCAGATTTTAAAAATAGAGACTTTTCGACCTACTTAGAGAGCGAGAGCGAGCGTATGTAAGCACATGAGCGTATTTATGCCCGTCGTTTTGTTTTCGCTGCAGGTAGTTTCCGGGATTTTCAAGTGGTTATATGTCAACGCGGGCGAGCTCACAGACGTATACGCACAGACGAAATCGAGAAGCCCTACGGACCGATGATTTTTCATCTTTTCTCCTCGAGTCGGTATACAGTCGATCTATAATCGTCGTTTATCTCATCGAGTAGTAATTTGAATATTCAATTGCATAAGTGGCTACTTAAACTCATATATATTCGTAAATGAGCCGTGAGTGAAAAATAACTAATTGCTGTCTCGCACGCGACAACGCTTATACGTTATACTTATCGAAGATGCATCTTCGTCGTCGCCGTCGCGTTCATATTTTCGTTTCCGGTTTCTCGAAAGTGAAAATAACAAAGAATCCAGAATTAAAAATAATGCCTTAAACCATTCGCTCGAGTGTGCCGATATATCTATATATTATTCAGAACGGCCGAATCATACTCGCACGCGGAATATATTTAACGAAATCGGTTTGTTGTTTTTTTCTTCTTCTTCTTCTTCTCCTACAAGACTCTATGCTAATTTATGCGTTTACGTGTGTGTACAGACGAACCTATGCTGTCACTGTCGGACGACCGATCAGATGTGCGGGGGTGGCAGCAGCGGCCTCGGCGTCGCTGCAAGCGGAGGCGGCAATACCACAGCCACGGCTTCGGTTAGCAATCCAGCGTCGAGCGGTCGAAAGGCACCATCGTCGCCAGCAGGTTCGGTGCCTCCACCGCCGCCTCCGCCACCAGCACCACTGCTGCAGCCGAAGCTGGCTCTGCCGACTCCGCCGCCGTTGCCGAATTTTTCCGTGACTCCGGCTGCTGCTGCTCCACCGCCACCACCACCACCGAAGATGATGATGAGCATGGGAGGAGGAGGAGTAGGAGGTTCCATGGGAAGAGGTGGCAATGGTGGCCCACCCGCGCCGCCTCCCTTCATGGTTCCAAACAATCGACTGAGGACCGAGCGATTGCAATTGGAGCCGGAAGTGTCGAAGGCGCCCTCGCCCGAGCCCCCCAACGACGCCAAGCTACTGCCTCAGCAAGAGATACCGACACCGAGGACGAAAATGAAGACCATCAACTGGAATAAAATACCAAATCACAAGGTACGTTTCTCAAATTTAAAAAACCTTTATTTAAAAAACGTATTCTTCCTAAAACGCCCAACGATTGGAAAATTCGAAAGCCATACAGCATCGTAATATTCGACAGATAATGAGCGCCATGCTGCTCTAATTAACTCGTCGATGCCGCATACAAACAAACAAAAATTGAGTCCCGAAAAAGAAGCTCCGTTTTTTCTTCTTCTTTTATTTCAAGCAAAAGCTTCTCACCAGCTCGCGCTGGTATTCTATTTCCGTCTTTTGCCATCGTCGTCGTTTAATCTTATTAAACGAAAAGTAGAGAGCACAAAAAAAAGGAAACGAGAAAAAACGATGTATATCGGATGTTAGATCGCGAAGTTTTGCGTTACGGAAAAAAGGCAACACACAGCAGTAGCGGCACATGCATTATATATATAGTACGTACATAGGTGTCGCGCGCTAGGCTAGGAACAACGCGAGTCGCGAGTCTTTTAACGGTAAAACCGCGAAAGACATCCGAGAACGTTTAGTGCACCACACAACTGCCACGCGGGTAATTGTAGAACGTTTCCCGACCGCCGTACTGCGATGTATGCACATTACTAGTCATCTCGTTTGTCATTAGTATTGCTATTAAAAATTTCGAGCTTGTATGTGTGACCGATGATGATGATGAGGAAGAGAAAAAAATGAGTCGAAATTTTCCAGATTAACGCGTGGGAATGGCGATGCGTATCGCGAGTTAATAAAGAGGCAATTTCGAGCTAACCCGATCGCTTATCGTCGAAACGACTTTTTTTTCAACAAAAGAGCTACGACACTACGTCGAGGCGCATCCATTGTTATTGTAATGGACCTCGACGAGTGAAACTCTCGAAACGATATCTTTTCTTAATACTGGGATATAATATTCATGTTAGCAGCTTATCGGAGGAGCAAACATATTACACTGAACTGTTGGCGTCATAAGTCGTAATCACCAAAAATGCTGATACGAGTCTCATTAAGAATAGATGACAATAGCGCAGATGGGCCATTTAATTCATCGACCCCCCGATATTGTCTCCGAGTAAATGTCATGATTGCCCTGTTATTGGATTTTATTTCATATGTATTTTTTTCAGGTAATCGGTAAGCACAACATATGGTCGGTAGTGGCGAACGAGCATCAAAATTCGCCGATGCCCGATTTGGACTGGGCAGAGATAGAAAGCTTGTTCTGTCAAACGTCGGCTGCCACTTCTGCCAACTTGACGGGTTTCAATAATAACACGGAAGTTGGTAAAAGTCGTCGAGAATCTACGGAAGTAAGTTTATCATATATTATACAAATGGAGAATTTTCCATTTTGAAATATTTCGTATGCTAAATCGATAAATGTTTTTTTCTTCGCGTAGATAACGCTGTTGCACGGCAAGAGAAGTCTCAACATCAACATATTCTTGAAGCAGTTCCGAAGGTAATCCAAACTCGATAATTCGCATCATAAGCAATTTATTTCGTCGATAAAGATTAAAAACGATTTTTTTCGCAGTCGGCTTATTATTTTAATGCATACTTATTTTTGTCATTGATTTTTGACAGCCTAAACATGCTCATTACCGACCTGATCAGCGACGGCGCGCACGATATCGTCGGCGGCGAGCGATTGCGCGGTTTGCTGAAAATTTTGCCGGAGGTCGACGAACTCGAGATGCTCAACAACTTCCAAGGCGATAGAACGAGGCTCGGACCAGCTGAAAAATTCTACTTGGATCTCCAGCAAGTGCCCAAGTAAGCTCGCAACTATGCACTAATCTCCGCTAGTTACTCGCGTTTTTTTTCTCTTTCTGTTTTTTTTTTTTTTTCATGCTTCCGATGAGAGACGTCGTCCGATTATACATAGTAGACATCGCACACGAGCAGATGCGCTTGAATCGCGAACGATGAGTGAATGCACACGCACTCGCGCACACACACGCGGCCTTTTAAAAATAGCAATTTTTTACCGCGCGGCTCGTCTCGCGGACGCTGACACCGGAAGTCGAGGGCCCCGAAAAATCGTTCAAAGATTTATTTCACGCTCTTAATTCGTGAACTATAACTCCCTCAAAATTGTATATAAAAATATCATTAAAGCGTTGAATAATTGATTATGTTGGAAAAATACGCTCTTTTATTGTACATTCGTCATATAAAAGTACGCACGCGCGTGTTTATACTTTTCTGCAACGCGTGTTCAAAGTATTTCGAGCGTGGGTATTTGAATGACGACGAATCATTATGTAATTTTTTTTTCCTTCAATAAAAGTCATTTCGCATCGGTGACGAAAAAAGGTGACACAATACTTATTGAATCATAATGCCTGGATGTTTCGACGAAGCAAATTTTAATACATTTTTAATTCTTTTTTTTCCATTATCATCAATACAGCTACAAATTGCGTATCGAATGTATGCTGCTGAAGGAGGAATTCGGATTGAATTTGAGGTACCTCAAAACGAATCTGAGCTCGATGATTCAGGTTGGCCGTAATCTCATGACGAACAAACCTTTACAAGAGGTTCTCTACATGGTACTGATAGCTGGTAACTTTTTGAATTCGGTAAGTCCTCGCTATACTATAATACGCTAATTATACGTAATGCGCGTAATACGCGTGTGGGACGTTTGACATATGATGGATGTGTTTTTTTCGTTAATGCTTTTTAGGGTGGCTACGCAGGCAACGCTGCCGGTGTGAAGCTATCGTCGCTGCAAAAATTGACGGAAATTCGCGCCAACAAGCCGGGAATGAATCTCATACACTACGTGGCAATGGTACGTCAAAATAATCTCTCTTCCGTATGTGTATCCGCGATCATTAATCTGGTTAATGCGACAGCAGCTATAAACGATTTTTTATGCTTGTGTCTTTTTGCAGCAAGCCGAAAAAAAGAATAAGGATCTGCTGAATTTTACGCAGGAAATGAGCGATCTGGAAACTGCAACCAAGTGAGTAAACACATCTCTCTTTTTTTTCGATTAATGCTTCTATGAAATCAGAGCGTATGTAAATATCATTTTTCTCTTGCAGAACGACAATTGAACAAGTAACGAACGAGTTCAATGCACTGGATTCAAGAATCAAGAAGATCTGCTCGCAAATTCAATTACCAACCACGGAGAAAGACATTCAAGATCAGATGGCCAAATTTTTAGAAATGTCCGAACGAGAATTGGAGCAGATCAAACTCGACATCGACGAACTCGATAACGTTCGGCGCAGTCTAGCCGAATTCTTTTGCGAGGACGCCAACACGTTCAAAGTAGAGGAGTGCTTTAAAATTTTCCATCAATTCTGTCAGAAGTTCACTCAAGCCGTCGCGGACAACAAGCACCGCAAACTCATGGAGGAGCAGGCGCTCGCGAGAAAAAAGCAGCGAGACGAGCAGGGGTCGACGAAAAAACGAATGCGTAAGTATCATTACTCGCGGCATACTTGATTTCAATCGCAAAGACAATCGAGTGACATAAATTTTCAATTGTTACTTACTTTATTGTAGAAGCGGATTTAATGGATATCATTGACTCGGACAATTACGGCTTAGATTTCAGCTCTCTTGAGAACGGAATTCCACAAAAGTCCTCAAAGGTAAGCGTACTCACAATGAAATTTTAACAAGCTTTCAGTATACATATACTCGAAACGGAAGGACAAAAAAAATGCTCAGTCACGAATTTCTTGTTTTCCTAGATGAAAAAACTGCAAACGAACGGCTTAGCAGGCGCATCGGAAGAAGACATAACTATCGGCGCGGGATCGCCCAGTTTACGCCGGCGTCTGGGCTCGATATCGGGCGGGCCCGATCTCGCAAATACCAAAGACGACTCGCCTGACATCACTCCTAACGGTACCCTACGCCGACGTCGTAGCCGTGTGGTGCCCTGCGACGAGGACAACAATCTCATGGACTTTTTACGTAGCAACGGCCAGGACAACTCGCGGGAGCGCAAGTTTTGGGGCAGCCTGGACAGATCGTGGGCCAAGAAGGCTCGCGGCACGCCCAGGCGCAGCGATCTGCTGAACGCCGATTTCTCGGGTGATAGGGAGCGAGCCAGCTCGCCGTCGCCGTTGGCCGAGCAGAAGCAATTTGTACAGCAGCAGCAAGAACCGGAACTCGAAAATAGCAAAGTGCCGCGTGGCAAGCACTGGCGACAGAAGATCGAAGCTTGGCTCATAGAAAGCGAAAAAAAAGACAAAGACGACGAACTTCAACTAAAAGTCAATCAGCGACAATCCTCGCGGCGAAACTTCGAAGAAACTGGTAAGCAATCATATGTGTCAGTAAAGCGTTTTGTTTCGAAAATATTTTCATTTATCACGTGTGTGTGTCATTTTACTTTGTAGAGAACGAAGGCAAAAATGCACTGCCGCGTAAATATAGTGAAGATTTGTCTTTAGGCCCCGAGAAACACAGGAAGCTCGACTGGCAGCCATCGGTCGAAAAGACCGACGTAATGCGCACGATGGAGGCCATCGAGGAAGCCCAGCCCGCACCGCAAACAGCAGCAGCGACTCCCAAAGATAAATCACCTTGGAGAAAATCAAGTCTGAACGTATCCAATCCCGAAGACGCCGACTTGAGATACTCGCGGCGACACAGATCGGGTACTCTGCAGGTATATAATATAAAATAATTTTTGCGAAATACGGTAGTTTCAATAGATTCGCGATTGATAAATCATATAATTTTCAATCTTTATTCATTCATTCATTCTTCTCTTCCGTTCATTCAAAAATGTGTCGCAAGACGAACAATAAACACGCTCCATTGAGTAAGAACCAATTACGGACACCATAAATTAAAAAAAACTATTCGTTTCGTATCCCAGGCCATTCGCGAAGAGGAGCGCAAGAAGAACAGCACCAACAGCGGCGGCACCAACAGTAGCAGCAGCACAACCAAAGCAAACGATGGTCTGGACGAGATGACCATCTATCTGCGAACGCCAACGACGCCGTCGGGTCGTCGTCTCGTGCAAGTGCAGAAATTAGACGACAAGCTCGACATCGACAGCGCCGACAACGCAGAGACGACACTCGGCGGCGGCGGCAACAGCAGATCGTTCAAGGACGCGACGACGACGAGCTCTGCTGCAATACCAGCTGAGAAATCATCGACGCCCAATGACCCCGGCAGCAGTAGTAACAACGCCTACGCTGACCTCGGAAGTGGTAATTACACAAATACACTCGCATATTACACACACACACACACACACACACACACACACACACACACACATATGTATTATATGACGAATTATGATGCTGCAGCGCCAGTCGAAGTTTGATTTTGTAATGTTTGAATTGATTTGCATTAATCTTATACATATAACACGGCCTACACGCGCAGCGCGCTGCTTGTGAGCCTCTACTATACGCTCTCTCTTTCTCGTGTACCTTGCAGATCGTTATCTTACACTTGTATACGTGCGCGCGTATGTGTATACACAGAAAGGAAGAACGATCGAGCGCGGGCCTCGGGGGTATCGCCGGCTTTTTTTTCCTCTTCTTCTTCTTCCACCGGGATGTACGCACTTGTTACCATTGTCTTTTTGGAGCACTATAATAGCTCTATATCGGTATATAACTCGAGTTTGGAATACCTTTTCATGTCTAGCCTCGTGAGTCGGCTATTTTTTTTTTCACTTTTCGAAGACGAGTTCCATGAGACGACACATAACTCTTACCGTATACATTTGTAACATTCGCAAAATTCCGATTAGATGACGTGCGACTATATGAACTTTCTTTACGTGTACTTGCAGGTAACTTCGACAGATTCTCGGCCGCACGCAGAACTCGCCGATACAAGAAGGGTCAAGATCCGTCGCAGCATGACAACGCCAGCGTCAAGCTAGATTTTGCAATGGATGATTCGGAGCCGGTTAATAGTAGTAATACACCAGCGCAACGGCCATCGACGCTTTCGTTGTCATCGGCAGATAACAACAGCAGCAGCAGCAGCAGCAGTGAGGCAATGTTGAAAGCTTGGCAGGACAAGCTTAAGCATCATCATCATTCGCAACGTAACGGGCAGCACGAAATCGATGCCGCGCGCGCCGAGATCGCGAAATCCGGCGAAGACCTGCAGCAATTGTCGACGGCGATCGGCTCGCATCGAAACACGTCGTCGCGTTTGCCGATAAGTCAGCCAGCACCGGTGCTCGCCGTGACGAACACGGTGCTGAGTCCGGTGATGCAGGAGTCCAGGCCCCGAGATCCGATGTGCATCGTGCCCGAGCGAGCCACGCCGAGTCGCGAGAGGAGACGCAGCATGATCGATCCGAGCCAAGTCAAGGAATCGTTGAGATTCATGAACGAGCCGGAACTCATCACGAGCTCGACCAATGAAAATTTACCGCCCAATAGTCAACTTGCTATGCAGTCTAGTAGTATGAGAGATTCATTAAAACTACCCATTGATGAAAAAAATTATGAATACTAATAAAAGTCGTTCAATTTTTCAGCTGAAGAAAATCTTGACATGTCAACGGAAAGCGAACCAAAGAGTCCATTATTTGGAAAAACCAACAGTCAATCTCGTTTTATACCCGATCTGACGACGACGAACAAGGCCCGAGAGCAGGAGCTCAACGACGAGGGCTTCGAGGAGACGCAGTCGCTCGTCTCGGAGACTCTGAGCCAGGAGGCGTCCTCGGGCAATTACGAGACCGACACTCATGACTCGACGCGCTGCTCACCGGCCGAGATGACGCGCAGCGGCGACACACCAAAAAAGTCTAATCCAAAGCTGTCTACCTTACCAAAGGTCACACAGTCGGCCAAGAGCAGCAGCGGCAGCGGCTCCGCAGGGTCGACCAGCAAAGTCGCCGCATCGTCGGCAGCAGCAGCTTTTTCGCGCAGGGACAGCAGCTCGAGGCTGGCCAAGGCGGCGGCGCAAGACAAAACCGTCGGCAGATTGAAGCAGGCGTTCGAGAGGCGAAACAGCCGCGACAGCGTGACTTCGACCCGATCGTCGTCGTCGGCCTCCAAGGCAGTACCGGCGGATAAAGGCGCGATCGGCAATAGCAGCAGCTACCTGCCCAAGCGAGCGGCGAGCCTGAAGCGTGAACCGCCCACGCGGTGAGTCATTGATCTTTCTTCTCTTTCGTGGGTGGGACTTTGCGCAGCTCTCTTTATATACATTCACATTGTGACACATATTATATCCTCTATGTATAGAAGGTATCGCGATCGATCGATCGCTTTTCGTTGTTTTACTCTTCTTTTCGCGCGAAATTTTCATTGTTCGAACCGATTTTCTCTGTTTATTATGTGTTCGAGTATGTACCAACAAAAGTGTCGAAGATCAATATCTTCGATATGGCTGTAATGAGTCTCCCAGATATATAATTTCGCGAATTTACGATCGAATGCAATTCGCATTGGCGCTCTTATATGATTCTTTAAGTGGCACAAGGACGCGCTTACGCCGCGTTCCGATCGCTTTGGTTTGATCGCTCTTTTAGCAGTTAATTACTATTTCATAAATCATCTTTAGCTTTGATCGTCGTACAAAGTATTTTTTTCTCAATTGTTTCTGCTCTCCGATGACGCTTCACTTATGAACAGAAAAATCATCGAAACCACATGCCCTGGTTGTGCAAAAAAAAAAAAACGAAATCAGCCAATCATCAACTTTTTCGACGTAACTATAATGATATTTTACAATTCGTTTTTCTTTTTACGCTTACAGCATGAGCAGTCTAGATAATCCAAAGCGTGCCTTACCAACGAGTCTGCGGAATCACGATCCCGTCGAGCGTTCAGCGTCTCGCAGCAGTCTGCGCAGCTCTCGGAGCTCCCTCAACAGTTCCACGTCGGTCAACACGGTGCGCAACAACAAAAAGCACATAGCGAGCGCGACAACAGCCAGCAAGGGACCGCATCTCGATCGGTTCAGCCGACCGATAAGAGCTCTGGCGGGCGATTTGGCTCGAAAAAATTCGGCTGAATCGAATAGCTCAGTTGACGAAAAAATTACAGCTAACAATGGCACCGGCGTCAGGAGGGTAGCGACGCTGAGAAGTTCCGTCAGTACCACGAAGATACCCGCGAGTCGAAGCAGCAGCAGTGGCAGCAGCGTCGGCCCAGCGGCCAAAATGATTCGTAAAGCTGTCCCCGTAAGTTTACGATTGTGTAGCCTCAATGTCTTCGTCTACTTGGAAACGATGATGATTTTCTTTTCTTTATTGCAGACGTCTTCGAATGTGTCGCGAGAGAGCGCCAGCAACGTTCGCAGACGCAATGTACCATCATCGACGCAGCAACCGACTACAGGGCTTTTAACGAATAATAAAAGCGCACCCTCCGGTACTACGGCGAAGGTGAGCTCTGTCGTAGCTCGCTTGACGGCACCGCGAGGCAGCAGTACCGGGACTCAACGCAGTCAGAGCTTCATGCGGCCGACCGCGGCTAGCGTCAACAAAAATACTATAGCTCCACTGCCAAAGGGCATCAAAACTCTCGTCAAGTAGTTTCTTTTTATTTTTAAAATTGATTTTTATCATCAACGATCGAGAATCTGTGCGAGTGAATGTATTAGTAATACCGGAATATATGAAGTAATTTTAACTATATTGCATGTAAATATTGAAACAGATTTATAAATTTATTCTTAATATATGCTCATTTACATATCGAAATGTTTAAAAAAACGTGACAGATGAACTTTATTTATTATGAAAGGTATTGAAAAACACTTATAAAGACTGATGAATTATTGAAAGTGCCTTGACTTTATGTTGGTTTCAAAATTTGTACACAAATTGGATATCAAAGCAAAAGTGAGGATCAATTGTACATTTTCATTGTAGTAATTTTTAACGTGATTACTTTAAAATTTTATATAATTACTTTACGTATCGTTTTATTTTTATTGATTGCCATCGCGCGTTATTTAAGTAGCTTAATTATTATTCATTGTATTCATTCAAACAGAGTCTAGCAGTATATTGCAGGACATTTTGTTTGGTAGACTGAAAAAATCAAAAGTAAGATTATTGAGAAAAGCAATACTGACCAGATTACCGTTTACTTATTTGAAGATACTCTCCTGGTCTACGCATCGATCTACATCTATCTATACAGCAATATAATGAAATGCAATTATCTCACTCTCGGCATAAAGCTTGGAAGAGTCATGAATTTAGCATATAATGAATGTTACGCTGATTTTTTTCTGATTCATTTATTTGAAAGATCTAAAATAAATTAATTTTTTCGGAAAAAAGGATAGACAAGAATTTTAATTTATTCAAAGAATTTTGCAAGAAATGTAATTACATAATTATATTTATTCATGCTTTCGAGTTTTAATACTCCACATATTTATACTTATACAGCGTTATAAAGATAAATTATATAAAATTATTATTTTTAACAAAACTGTAACATACATTGCGATTAACAATTAAGTAATCATCTAAGTGCATGGAATAATATAAACATAAGATAATGTAGTGTGTACGAAAATCGAAGTTAATAAAGTTGACTTGTGATCGGATAATATTTTTGTAATTCTACGACTCAACATGCAGTTATGCTATTACACTAAACAATAAAAACAATATGACTATAATTTTTCTGAATAAAATAACAAAAAAATTGATAAATGACATCTTTTCTAATAATGTATGAGAAAAATTTTAATTGAATAATCATATATATACAATAATCATTACGACGTCAAATGTTTGCGAGTAAAAAATAAAATCGTCGACTTTGAAATAACTGGTTGAACTTAAACTTAACAGTACAATTTGTATTCCAAGAGTGAAGGAATGTTACAGATACATTTTTTATGCTTATCAGAGGAACTATTTTCATTGTTATAAGTATTGATATGGTAAATAATTTTTTTACGATTTAATTTTCGTTTTTTTTATACTGATACTAATATTACCGGGACTTTAACCATACAAATTACTTATAACTTTATATCAGTCTTTTTGCGAACCGTCGTTCAACGAAGAAATTTGTATGTACATTTGACGATTATAAACACGTACGGTCATCAATAATACACATAATTACGAATACATGTATGTTCATTACGGAAAAATTTACAATGTTTACTCGAATGTGTATGCGTGTTGAGTGTGCGTAAACATATTTAAACTTAGAAAACTATCAGGGCTTTGAGGCGCGCGATCATGTTTCCGGAATATCTCTAAAAGATATCCTGACCGGGCCCTGGGGCGCCATTATGTACTCCGATTTGAGGACCAGCTCGTCCTCTGCGCTCACTACGAATGCGCGGGAGATCTTGGCGATCGCCAGCTGCAGCGCCTGATCGACGAATCGCTTGCCCGGGCAGATTCGGCGACCATAGCCGAAGGGCGCGACCAGATGCGGCGAGTGCGGCTGATAGCTCGAATTTTCCAGCCACCTTTCCGGTATCAGCTGTCTGGCGTGCACGAAGTTCTCCTCGTTCAATCCGGCGAGCCATGTGTGAAGCAAAACTACTGTCTGTTGGTCAACAGAAATCATGTAATGATGCACGATGTAAAAATCGCAGAGAATGAGAAAAGAACATTTTTTGGGCAAAAAAAACTTACTCCTGCTGGAAGCTCGTGATTGCTCAGCGTGGCGGATTGGTCGAGAATGCGAGCGATGTCAGGTGCCGTTGGGGTTAATCTAAGATTGCAAAGCACAAAACAACAACAGATTATCCCACGTGTTTTTTGAACTCTCTAACGTGCGCGTTAAAATTCATCCGGAATAACAGGATCTTATACAGTATTATTATTATGACACGCGCGAAATTACGTAATGCTAAAACCGGACACGCTGCTGCCGCTGTTGCTGCTGCTCCTCGTGATTATTCATAAGTCAACGAACTTGAATAAATTTTTACAAAGAAGGTACGCTTTTTCGCTATACCTTGACAATATTATAATAAGATGCTAAACCGGTTGGGTGCTCGCGTGGTATGTGCATTATAAGCAGATCATTTTTTTCCTTATTTTTTGCTGCCTCTTCTTCGTCTTTTTATAGCACCGGTGAGGCTTACCTGTATACTTCCTGGATGAAGGCCTTGATGTACTTGGCGTTTCTCATCTCCTTAATGGGTACTTCGCAGCGCTGCGGAGCCAACTGCTGGGCCTCTTCGTGGATTTGACGCTGTACCTCAGTGTGCTTTCCCATCTTGTGCAGCAGGAAGCAGAGAGTATTGCCGATCTTCGATTGATAAAAATTGAGAGAATGTTTTTTATTTTTAGTACAACGAGCAATCGATTTCTGTTTTTTGTTTAGCCAAAAATCAACGTAATAATACTCACGGTGTGAATACCCGCCGCGATGAAGTCGACGATGGCTGCTTTCTTGTCGCGATTGTCGAGGGTCTTTTCGCGCAGGATCGATTGGAAAACGGCTTCGACGGCCTCGTCCTGTGCCACGTCTTTATTCTCTTCAATCGTCTGGTTGATTAAATCCGATATTATACTGAAATAATGATAATACGTGAAACACTTGATGTCCGTTGTTGATTTGGCAAGCAAAAAAGTAAGCCTTACTCGTAAATAGTTTCTTCGCTCTGGATAAGATTTTTGTAAGCCGCGTTGGCGTAGTACTTCCAGGTCGGCAGTCCGTACGCGGCGTCTCTCGTGGCCAAGAAGTGCGTTCTCACGGCTTTGGCCAATTTTTGCGTCAACTCGCTCGTCGAGTCGGTTTTTAAAAAATTCATTCGTCTGCCCAGCACGAGCATGCAGGTACCTAATGAGGGAAATAAAGTAGCATTAAGTAATCGTGTTTCATGGTTTTAATGGATACGGCCAATGAAATTTACTAAAAAGTAAATAAAAATAAATAAATAAATAAAAAAGAGAGAAACAATTTTAGTACTAACTTTCCAGGCCGAATCTGCAGGCGATCTCTTCGAAACTGACGACCGTGTCATTCTCGTTTCTTCGATGTTTTATCAGCTCGACAAAGTCGTCAGTCACGGTGTTAAGGGACGAAAAGAAGCCGTTGATGGTCAACGACGACATCAAACCCGGTGTCAAGCTATTCCTCAGTTTTTCCCATTCAAGTCCTTGCCTACGTGTTACAAAAAAAAACACATAAGACGATATCTTGGGGGAGGGGGAAAAAAAATTCGAGGTAAAAAACTAACTCATTAACGAGTCCGCTATTGGTGTATCGATCCTTCCTCGACAGTCGATAATGCGAGATGATGTCCTGTGGCGGTCTCAACGGATACTTTGTATTGAGCTTCATTATCGTCTCGATGTCCTTACCATTGAATACCGAGATGATCTTGTAATTCCAATAAGACTCTTGCCTGACGATTTGACCGTATCTTATACTGAGGTCTGTACGCGACAAGCGGACGAGAGAGAGAGACAGAAAAGAATACGACGATTAATCGATCGTAATGAAAATAAAGTACGCGATTCAAGGGCCAATAAAGTTTGAAAATTCTAATGAGCGCCGTGACGTGTTTCACGAGTGCGCGTACAGTAGGAACCATTGACCCAGATAAACATATTGACGTGAATCACGACTCGCTACACTTAAACAATTTATGTATACGTCGGCGCGACGATTGAGAAAGATGATGAAATTTTTTTTTCTCCTTTTTTTTGTTTATACTCACCATGGTAGGCTTCGTGATTCCTGTCAACTTCGTAATACCCGACACCCCTGTAGAAAATCCAATTGGTCCCGATGAACGGCAGCGCCAGGGGTCCCGGAATCTCGTCGATTGTTTTGACTTGGTCATAATTTACGTCTGGGCTTGTTCCTGAATTCCTGTCTGTATTTGTGTCCGATTGAGTGTCCGGGTTTTCGTTTGAATTTCGGTCTTTGGTAAAAATTTCTAAAAAATATACGGCTAATTTTTTTTTTTTTTACATTAATTGCAACTATTTTCAACTTTCAAAAATTCTCGTACTTATAAATCCATGAATCACTGCTAATGTGGTTATCAAAATTTTGTTTGCCCAGCCATTCGTGAATACAGCCATCGTAACGAGACACCCGATCATCTGTAAATCGAGCAATCGGATTTTCCACTCGGACTCCTGCTCCATCGGCCTGCTAGTGTTTTCTTCTTGAGTCATCATTTTTAGTTTTTCATTCGTCTTGATTACCTGAAAAGAATAAAATGAATAAAAATTAAAATTAAATCGAGCTTTATCAGCTTATCCCCATTGAATTTGGCATTGTTTTTACATGATTTATTTGTCTGCAAACGTAAGGAGAAATCGTCTACTTTTTTAGCTATCAAATTAATAAATGCTTGCAAGTGTGAGTCTATTAAAAGTTTTTAAGTGCTAGTAAACGTATTAATCAAACATGTTGCAGAGTAATCTCTTATTTACCCTCTATCTCAACTCGCGTGAGTTACATATTATCTACGGATATAAATGCATAAAGTCATATGTGATCTCGATTTTACTTAGGAAACACTATTGGAATGTTTTTTGCCCCATTTTATTGAACTGATTCGGCTGATCGAAAATTTTCAATCAATCCCTCGCCGTTCCATAATCGTCTAATCGTCAACTTATCGGTGTGAACTGCAATTGATGAATTCTTGGATCGTTTTAGCATTATAGAGTCAACAATGATATTTACGTCTATTGTAAGATTACTTATCAACTATATCTTTCTATATAAATTATGTTGTAAACGTTTGATAGACGTTTCAATACTTTACTTTGGTATATCGGTCATGTTCGGTTAATCAGGTCCCGAAGGCGGTACAGCAGTCATAACGTCAGCAGATTATGTTTCTGAGAATCTGGGAGAGAGCGAAAAATCAACGCCGAGGAAACGTCGATCAGGCCGATTGGATCTTCGAAGCCAAGCAGTCCTTTTGACGAGGATGGGTGAATTGGGTGCGTCAGGCACCAAAACACTCGAGTGTATATTGCGCAAGTGGCGATAGTAGAGCTTACAGTATTTAAGGTAGTTCCCTCAGAACCTGACCTACAAATTCGGGTATATGTCTAGAAAAAATCTGAAAAAAATTCATACGTTTTCATTGAAAAATTCTAAGACTTTTTTGTTTTTTTTTTAATTTTTCGTACAGTTCATACTTATTGAGATAAAAAATCGCAAAGATTCATTGCTTGAAATTGTTTAAACTTGAATCTTTTATAGCTCGTGAACAATAGATTTTAGGAAAAATTTGCAATAGCACTTTTTTGTTTAAAATGACCCTAAAAACCTTTAAGAGTGGGTTTCAGGTCCAAAAGTTTAAATTTTTATTTTTGCAAAGTTTTTACATTAATTTTTCTCAAAAACTAAATGGTCAAGTTTTTCCAGTTTTTTAGCTATGTTTCAAAACATACTGAACAATCATCTCCTTGTTTTTGAAAAGATTTTATCGATGAGTTTTTTTAAAATCACACAAATAGCGTATTTTTGACACGCTAGCATAGGGATCCCACGTTAAAGAACCGAAATTTGAATAATTTTATTTCGGAAATAGTTTGGTTAAAGTTCCTGAAATTTCTCACATATATGAAAAGCACTGTCAATAATATGTGGTTAAAATTTCAAGACCCTTTATGGATAGTCATTTTTTTGAAGGAACTACCTTAAGTGCGAGGAGCGAACGTTGCCGATCCTAGACTGCTGCCGATCTCATCGTGTCTATTCTGCTAACTGCACATATCGTCGTCGCTCGGCGGGACGTGTGGAATCTCTCGTTTTCGCATAGACAAAGCGGCGGTGGCCGCGGCTGCTACTACTACTACTACTGCTACGACTTGGACAGGGGGGAGGTAGGGGGGAAAAGAGAGTAGCAAAAGAGCAGAGGCTGGAAGGGATAGTAGATTTGCAGAGCAGCAGCAGTAGCAGCAGCTGCAGCGGAGCTAGGCATGAGCTCGTCGACGCGGTCGTCTGTACTGCGAGTACAGCTCGAAAAAAAGCCCTCCGACGCGCGACTAGGAGAAAGAGAATTGCTATTCCCTTCCGGCACGATGCTGAGCGGCCGACTGTGGTACATCTCTCGCGGACTTTCGCTCCGTACCTAGTTCAGAGATTGTAAGACCCTAGTTGCGAAGCATTAAAGACGTTTTCGACGCGTTGCGCAACTCGCTCGACTCGATCGAGAATAAATACGACGAGTTTTGTTGCTCGCCGCAAATATGCCGTCAATATATATAAAGTATATAATTGTGTGTGCTGCACATATTGTAATCGGGCAGTAATGCTGAACTATGCGCGCATCGTCACGCCGACATGTTGCCGTTGCTCTACGCGAGCTCAGACACACGCGCCGCTGCTGCACTGCTGCTACAATAATATGACGTGATAACGAATATAGGTAATTGAGTAAACAACCAGAAGCAGCGGCCAAAGAGAGAGAAGCAGGGGGATTGCATTTTTACTTCTTCTACTCTACGATTATTCATCTCCAAATTATACGATACGCAGCTCGTTTCGCGCGCCAAATTTTCGCGCCAAGATTGCGATTATTATCAGACTCCCCTCGACTCGTAGCTGGAACGTTCCCGATGCAAGATGCGCATCCGACAGCCCCGATTATTCAGCAGAAAGACAAGACAGGCTTCATGTAGCGCTGGACCTCTTCGGGAAACTCCGAGACTCGCTGACTCCTCGGAAAAAAAAAGAAAATACGTGCTCGAATTATCGTTATCGCTCCTGGCGCCGGCAGCTTTCAATCTAATTGCATATATATGCACCCAACATGTTTCTTAGGATTTGTTCGTAAGCGATGCATTTTTGCCTCTCTCTCTCTCTCGCGTCTCTTAAAAAGACGAGCTTTCTCGTGAGTTTGATAATAATAACACAATTTATCATCAATAATGTACATAACATGCCCGATTGTGCACGCCACCCTATATGACTAACGTGTGGTCTCTGCGCGCGAGTATCGTAATAATTCATGAACCAAAAGTGGCTTTACCACAAATATACTATATAATATTTCACGTCGAGAAATCCTTCGGTCAAATATTCACCTTGGCGCGAGAGAGAGTGAGAGAGAGAGAGTATAGAGAGACTTTTGTTGTTTCTCGAAATCGCGCGTTCTTTTTTCTGTGAAAACAATTCGAATTTTTTTGCAGCCCGTATCGATACAGCTTGCTCTTTAAAATATATAAAGAGAATTTAACCGTGAAACGAGTGAGGTTGGTAAACAGAATTTCAATCTGACTGGAAAAATTCCTTAGCATCTCTATACGGCAGCGAGTTTTTGTACGTACGATATATATCTCCGATGTTCAGCTGTGTTTTTTTCCTCGAAAAAATGGATTTTTACAGTAACGGGACTCTGAATTGAATACATCACAAAATCGTGCGAGTCATCCGTTTCTAGAATAAAACTCGATAAGCCGATGGTGCAACATAAATAGAAATATATATCAAGTTATTAAATAAAAGTGTCTCGTCGCGCGGCAAACAAAGTCTCGGGGTATGCTCGCGTAATATATAGTTAACGCGTCGCGATAAAGTATTATTTATTCATAACGCACAGTTTTATTTATAATCATATTCATTATAGTTATCACAATTACGTTATTTTAAATCAATCGTTATTATATACTGGTTACACGCGAGAAGCTTCCTATTATGCTCTCACGAATCGTTGCATAATTTTACATAATAAGGGTGTGGATAAAAGTCGCTGAACCAATTGAGATGTTCCCGAAGCGCGATCGACCTGCGCGAAACACTCAAAAGTTTCGATCGTCAGTATCGTATCGGCGCCTAAACGGCATACCAGTCGATCCAAATGTACACAGCTGCTCTCTCAGCTTTCCGCGTAAAGCGATGCGCGCGCGGGATACGTTATATATTAAAATTGACGATATCCTGCCGAACTTGGGTGGATATATTAAAATATTACGCACGTGAGTCGTGCGTGCTTGTGTGCCTATAATAATATACGTAATATATCCTGAAATTTTGAAGCAAAAACACACACATACTCACACACAAGCGAGTATAGTTAACGGTTTAGCCGAATATTACGCGCGCGAGCCGATATAGATGCTTTGCATATTTCACAGTCCGTATATCACTTTTTTGGTGTGTGGTGAGTGTATTGCACACTACTGCTGCCCAGAGTGACTCAAAGTTCATCGGTCCTTTTTTGTTGCTCTTTTTTTTGGCGAACAGTTGAATGCACTTTTGCGGACGATCGTAACACAACGATATGCAATAATGTCGAAAATAAAGCGCATAGGTTTATCAACAAAAATTAATAATACGACCGATGCGCGATTGCTATCGGAAAGCGGCGCGGCTCGCGTAATCTTACGAACGAGAGAGGCCAGCAAAGAAAATCCAATGCCTTTTTAGATTTTTTATCTCGCTTCGAGAGAGCGAAAAAAGCATTAATTATTCTCTTGAACAAATAGGATTGGTCGGGTATAGCCAAGATAAAAATGATAAAAAAATGACGTAAGCAAATCGATACACTTTTGTCGTTTGTAAAAAGAAAGATCAAGACAGAGAGAGAGAGAGAGAGAGAGAGCATGAGACTCTCGCGGACTCATGGGAAGTGCTGGATTTATTTGCATCGGGATATCGAGCCGATCGGGATGCCGAGTTTTCGATAATTTTTTTTTCACTCATGAGCTTATGTTTAAAAGCTCTTATCGCATCGCATCAATATTAAATTTCTTTAATTTCATTTAATCCATCACGAGAGCTCGATTTTAATAATTGTAAGCACGTGAATCATTCAAGATTTTTCATCGTATCACGTTTATGTGCGATTGTAATTACGTTGCATTTCAACGAGCACGTTTTCGTTTATCATGCCGGTAATTGTATTTGTTTTGATTGCAACAAAGTCGGTAGCGATTCTGTAATGCATTTTCATGCTGAAAATTTATTTTTCTGCAAAATCGACTCGACTATATGGAAAGTGTTCCTATAAGGTGAAAGTTGACAGCAGTGGAGTCAAGATAAGTCAGATTTGCAAGATTTGTTAGTTTATATAGATTTGAAGCGATGTCGCACATATCTCGCGATGATCTTGACTTTCACGCGGCTCGCATCGAGAATATTCGAGCGACGAGTCTCTGATAATAATCGCAATCTTGGCGCGAAAATTTGGCGCGCGAAACGAGCTGCGTATCGTATAATTTGGAGATGAATAATCGTAGAGTAGAAGAAGTAAAAATGCAATCCCCCTGCTTCTCTCTCTTTGGCCGCTGCTTCTGGTTGTTTACTCAATTACCTATATTCGTTATCACGTCATATTATTGTAGCAGCAGTGCAGCAGCGGCGCGTGTGTCTGAGCTCGCGTAGAGCAACGGCAACATGTCGGCGTGACGATGCGCGCATAGTTCAGCATTACTGCCCGATTACAATATGTGCAGCACACACAATTATATACTTTATATATATTGACGGCATATTTGCGGCGAGCAACAAAACTCGTCGTATTTATTCTCGATCGAGTCGAGCGAGTTGCGCAACGCGTCGAAAACGTCTTTAATGCTTCGCAACTAGGGTCTTACAATCTCTGAACTAGGTACGGAGCGAAAGTCCGCGAGAGATGTACCACAGTCGGCCGCTCAGCATCGTGCCGGAAGGGAATAGCAATTCTCTTTCTCCTAGTCGCGCGTCGGAGGGCTTTTTTTCGAGCTGTACTCGCAGTACAGACGACCGCGTCGACGAGCTCATGCCTAGCTCCGCTGCAGCTGCTGCTACTGCTGCTGCTCTGCAAATCTACTATCCCTTCCAGCCTCTGCTCTTTTGCTACTCTCTTTTCCCCCCTACCTCCCCCCTGTCCAAGTCGTAGCAGTAGTAGTAGTAGTAGCAGCCGCGGCCACCGCCGCTTTGTCTATGCGAAAACGAGAGATTCCACACGTCCCGCCGAGCGACGACGATATGTGCAGTTAGCAGAATAGACACGATGAGATCGGCAGCAGTCTAGGATCGGCAACGTTAAATGCCGCAAGCTCTACTATCGACACTTGCGCATATCCACTCGAGTTTTTTTGGTGCCTTACGCACCTAATTTACTCATCCTTGTCAAAGGGACTACCTGATCGACGTTTGCTGGATACCGATTTATAATGTTCTTCTAGATTCCCGGAAACCTGATTAGCTGATCATGATCAATATCTCAAAGTAAAGTATTGAAACGTCAAGCGCCGATGCGATACAATGTTTACAACAAAACACGAGCCTCCAATATTCGACTAATTATACTCGAGGCAACATAAACATCAACGATTATAAATAATTGAGAGATTACAAACAAATGAAAAAACAAAAACACTCGAGGACTTCGGGCTAAATATAAACGATCCGCTCGACGCACAAAATACAGAGAACAGCATGTGTGCAAATAATACTTCCGTTTGGGGAAATATGCAGTAATTATTTTTCAAACATCCGACCGCTTATATTACGCGATACACGGCTCGTACGAGCTCGAACGAGCGAACAAACGAAAGAGGCGATTATCTCATATTAATTAACGACCGAATGTAAACATGCATTTTTCACACCCGCTGAGATTGAAAGCGAAAGTCAACCGATTTTTCATCGTCGTTGTCGCGTCCCTGCATCGACTGAGTGTGTTTCTGTGTATGTGTGTGGCATGTGCGAGTGTCGTGTTTGCGCGCACGCTCGCGAGTGTCTGTGTGTGACGACGATTCACCCTGACCCTGCCATTCCATACTCGCAACAGCAGCAGATCACACACAATTGCACCGCGCGCCGAGTTCAAGGCTCGTCAATTCGACTCAATGATGATCGGTTTACGCGCAAGGGATCGCGCGATTTCTTACGGAAATGTACGCGATCTCCAAGGCGTTTCTTCGCACTGCCGTAACTGCAGATTATTCTTAATCACTCCGGATTATTATTAAAAAAAAAAAATCACGATGGAGTTGAACAAAAATTTGAACTCACCACTCTGGCAATTCTCCGTGTGTGTACTTTGTCAAGTGGAAATAAACCTCGTGCGTCTCGATCTTCCTGCTGCTGCTGCAGCAGCACACACAGATACGGATAGATACAGAGATGAAGAGAGATAGCAGAGAAAGAAAAAGAGAAAAAGATCGGCAATATCTCGGCTTTTCACGTGCAAAAAAAAGGTCTCTCTCGCAGGAACGAGAGGAGGAAAGCAATCTCGATGAAAAAAAAGTACACGAGTGCAAGATTATATATATACGGATAAATATACGCGAAAAGCAAGAAAGAAAGATGCGCCGGCAACGCTGTTCCGATGCTTTCTGACCGCGAGAGAGTGTATATAATATACAGAGAGAGAGAAAGAGAGAGAGAGAGAGAGAGAGAGGCACACTGCGAGAGGGACAACTCTACTCCTCGAGAGCCGCTTGCGGCGCTCAGTGGTTTATATAGCTCTTTCTCTCTTTCTCGCTCGCTCTCTTGCTCTTCTGTGCCTCTCTGTGCCTTACCGAGCACTCTGCTGACTGCTCTGCCCGGTACATATATACATATGTATGTGTGTATATGCTATATATATGTGATGCGGTGGTGATGATACCGAGCGCACGCATGACGACGTGCCGAGTCTCTCTCTCTCTCTCTCTCTCTCTCGTTCGGAGCTCTCTTGCGCTTCAAGATGCGACGCATCATATAGCAGCACATGTGTGTACGGATGCACACATGCACACATGCCGGTGGAGAGTGCATCGCGGCACAAACACACACATACAAAAATAATGCACATGTATAAAGTGCAATACATACATGAATGTGGCGCACGAGTAAATGTGTGTTTATACGAGTAGGGGATGGGTGTGTGTACGTACACAAATACATACGCAGATGCAGCAAGAAGAGGTGCGCGCGCGAAAGCGATTAGAGGTAAGTATGTGTGGCTACTCACCTTCTTATTATTTTTTTTCGTTGCAGGCTCGCTGCTCTCTCGCTCCTCTCTTCGCACTATGTCCTTTGTACACTTTTACACACACGCGATCTTTATTTTTTTTTATATTACATGTATAATAATATACACTGGCACACGCACACAATCGTGATTTTAAAAGTGCATGACACGTGAGTACACACGTGAAGATTATGTACATATACGTCTCTATTTATACAAAAGTCGTGGAGCCGGAGAGGTGTGCGCCTCGCGCTGGTTGTGAACCAGAAGCACGAAAAGTATACTACTGAATGTAAGCGCTCACCTTTCCTCGGGCTTTTATATACGCGCTGCGGCTTTTCTTATCTGCGCGAATCAACGCGCTGATCTCGCTCGCGAGAGAGGCCCGGGAGAGAGAGAGAGAGAGAGAGAGACAGCAGATACATACTTTAGGCTATTCTATGCAGACTTTCGGGCAAAGGAGAGCGCGTGGATAGGCACACGTCTATTCCTTAATGTATGTATATGAGCTATTTGTTCATTTCGATTCCTCGATTTCGCACGCGCGCCTGCGAGTGTGGTAGGAGGTGAGCAATAGACGACAGGATTCTCATTAACGATGACTCGGGCAAAAAAAGATCTATGATGGTCCCTCATTAATTACACATCGCCGATTCGGACGACTTGATTATTGAGCTCGGCGATAGGTAGGCAGGCTCTTGCTAATAATAACCCATTATCGTTTCTAATTACTCGAACACAGAAATCGGTATACACTTTCACGAGCGCACGTGTAAAGCTGCCGTCTATGATTTAGTTTGTAAGCAATAAAAGCCACTCTTGATGCCTCCTGTCTCTACATTGGCGAAAGTGCCATTAAGAAAACGCGTTTAAATCTACTTCTCTACTCGTCTATGATGTACACCAAAGAAACATTTTCAATCGTCGGAATATAATTTTAATTCATTATTTTTATTTAATGGATGGAAAAATTTGCGCTAACTTACTGCGCATCGTCTCGATGATTTTTTTGTTTGCTCTCGCATGTGTGCGCGCGAATCGTGCCACAGCCTATGACGCCAAATTAAACCCGAACAAGTTCAACTCCCGCGAATTGTCTTACCGTACACAGCAAAGACGGTTAATTCATTACGTATATGTGCATTAATTATGAAATGTTATGGCTAAATGGGCTGCGCGTGCGTCTTGCGAAATTCCCAAAAATTTTGATTTTTATCTGCCGTTTGAACGCCAAAAGAGACAATATTTAAAGAATGCGTGCGGATAGCTTTCTATGATCGTGATTCGACGCTGATACATTTCGATCGTATTTTTGAAACGAAAATTACAATGATTGGGTAATTTCCAATATCTCTTGGCGGAGGATGCTGGATGGCCTTAATGATCTAATTGGTTATCGTAATCGATTGTTTCTCAAAAGATGAATAAATTAAATCTAATCTGGTGAAGCCGTAAAGATGTATTCTAATTCAGCGATTATCCATTATGCAATAGGATCGATAATCGACGATCGACGATTTGTTAAATTTTACATAACTTTGTAAGATCAAAAGTAAGAGAGTCGACAAACTGATTATCAAAGTTTTAACGAAAGTCAAATTATTCAATCGCTCGAAACTTAAAATCGTAACGGAAGACATAAAGACACATAATTCCTTTGAAGAAATTTTCCTTTACTCTACAGCTTCCTAAAATAACGCGACGTTTTTTAATCTCTTTGTTTTGTTTTGTTTTCTTGCAAGACGCACGCACATGCGTTATCGAGTGACTCGTGGGAGTAAATGAGCATTTGTTGCTCCAAAAAAAAGTGAATTGTAATCGTTGATCAAAACAAATGATTCTCGCGATATTGGCTAATTGACGTAAGTGTAATCCAAACACACCGGAAAATCGGTCATAAATTTCAAATGCTTCAAAACGATAAAAATTGCACCCGTGCTCGACGCGTGCGACTAAATTTTTTTAATTTTTTTTTTTTTTTAATTTAATTATTGCCAGTGGCAGGGATTAATTGTGCGTCCTTAAAATCGTCGTACGGATCGTTTCCGTCGGTAAACGAAAACGGCGCAGTAGCATTTGATTATCATGTATGACGAAATTTCGAGTTAAATTTTTTGAGCAGCTAAAGGCATTGCTTTTGATATTTCGATTAATCACTTAGCATAATGATGTGAGAACAGGTTGTTCGTAGAACAAAGATCAAGGCTCTTGCTAGGATAGGAAATACCAGAATAGTGATGACAAAAAAAATCAATTTTTCGTCGATAATTCGGAACGCGATTTTTGAGAACTTATATTTGTATTTTTAATGGCTGCGATACGCGCAGGTGTTCAAGATTTTGAAATAACAAAAACAAAACTGCAGGTTTCCATAGCGATTGTGTTACGTTTGAGGGTGGAGTTTTTCCGAGAGGATCTTTCAAAAAATTTAGCTCCTATTATTAGCGTCGCAAATGTTTCATTGATCGTAAGTTATTTGGCTTTCAGTTTATGTTTTCAGGGGTTTGTTATTGAGAATTCAAGTAAAAATTTCACAACAAATAATTTAAATTTTATTACACCACTGGTAAGAGGTAGGATTATTCAAATTTTATCCGAAAATCTCGATTAAGATAAATAGAATAGATCGTTTCGTAATGACCATTAGTTAGATAGGAAATACAATTTGAATAATTTTTAACAAAATCGTACTTTCATTGAAAAATATTTTATTCATATAGCAATGCTCCTGTCGATCATTATTTTCTCTCCTTGTGTTTTACATAAATACATGGTTGTTTTCACGTTATTATTCATGCCGTCATTCAAACAATTCAACATCTAACAAATGAAAATAGCTTTTCAATTAAAAATCTTTATAAGAAATTTAATTTTTTGAATTTGCGATAATAAATATTTTATAGTCAAATTATTAATTAGTTAAGTTATACCTTTATGAATATACCTAAATGTCAAACTAACCGCTAAAAGAGAAAAAATACTTTACACTTTAGTCTAAATATAAATGCTATGGAGTCGACTTTTAAAATGCACTTCAGCAAACACCTTTGAAATTGAATTAAATAAAATTTTTATCTAACAACTACAACGTGGGTCAATAGTTACAAGCGTGGCTTTGTAACGACGCCAACAACTCATTATTAATTTGATTCGTATATTTTCTAAAAACTTGATCGCCTGAATTTCGTCAGGAATAATTTACATAGTAAATGGGTTAAAAAAAACGAATAACTAAATATAGCTACTCAATCAGGCGAAGTTCGTCATAATAACATTACATGATTGAAAAAAAGTTCCCGTTTCAAAATAAATTATCAGCTTACTTTGAGGCTGTGTAAATTGACGAGCACTTCAAGATGACGAATATCGAACTGCACCCATGAGAGATTTCGTCGCAGTTGCAACTGCAACGAAGTTTCGCGAACTGTTCAAATTCATTGCAAATCCGGGAATTATATTGCTGTTGAGATAATGATTATTTTAATCATTTGTAAATGTTTTCTGTGTCGGGGTATTGAAGCAATGATTGTTGCATTACATTAATTAGATAATTTGATTATACAAGTACTTATTCTCCGAGTTTCGTTGCAATTTTAATGTAGCTTCAAATTGTTTGCTAGGTGATTGTAAAAACTTTAAAGAGAAATTCATTCTAAAAATAGAAGTAAAGAGAAAAAATTATCACAATTTTAAACTTCAGGGGTATAATATCTTCATAAGATGAAAAAACTCATCAATTGTAGATAAATACTCATTTTTCATACACTAAAACTTTTCTCTGCAAATATTAGTAAGTGCGCTTTTCACGAACTGCAATCGTAAACTTGGCTGGAAATTCACACATCACCGAACTTTTGATAAAGTATCGTTTGTGTTATTAATGATCATCAATCGAAGATATTGATAAGATAAAATAATCTTTTTTCACGGCTCTGTGATCAGAGTTATTCTAGGATCTAGAAACGAGTCTCGTTAATACACATTAGAAAATTTTCAAGAACGGTTCAACTTTCGTCGAGCGTATACTAAAAAATCCAATCGCGCTTGCTTACAAGGGCGAATTTTAAAAGTCTATTCTTTTTAATTACTTAAAGAGATTCATCAAAAACGTTGATGGAAATTCGAGGGTTGAGTCGGTTGATTCGTTGAATACACCATGCCAGGTGGTTGCTGGTGTTGCATAGCATGATTCTGATGTTGATGAAACTCAGGACCTCCGTGCGGCCCGTTCAATCTTACTCGTTTGGGATTGGGTCCGTGATTGTGATCACCATTGCCTTGTTGCTGCTGCTGTTGCGGATTTTGTTGCTAAAAATAGTTAGTATTTAATATTTCAGCCACTTGAGTATAATAGAAAAAATTTTCGTTATAAAAAGAAAAAAAAGAAAAAAAAATTTTAGTACTTGATACTGAGTGATCCTTACTGTTTGTTGTTGATTTTGCCTATTTTTATTTTCAGTCTTATCTTCTGAATCGTCATCTGTCAAGAATTCTCTTTTTGGATATGGAATAGCACATCCAGCAAAGATACTAAAAGCAATATTTAAGAAAATATGAAATTAACTTTATCAATTAAAATATTTTTATAAAATATAATTCTCACTCTTGAGTTGGCAGTGGATCTTCTTGAAAATAAGGATCTTGCATGGACTGTTCTGATGTTATCCTCTTATTTGGATCCATCATCAACAATTTTTGTAACTGAAATTTATATAGTTATAAATTAATGTATTAAATGAATATAAAAAATTATCTTTTGATTCTTACCAAATTGAATGCTTTGCTATCTGGTTTGATTTTATGACGATCCATATATTTGGTAAGAGAACAATTGGCATAGCTAAAAATAGACAATGTTAAATTTTCTCTGTGTTTTTCGGACTGATTTTACATATTATGTTATAAAGATTTTACTTAGATCTTTTGAAGTCTCTCAGTAGAGTTTGATGTTCAGGCATTTTTTTAATGTCTTCCCAGTCTTTTTCCAGTGGAAAGCCCATTACATTGAATATTCTAAAATGATTCATGATGATTTTAAATGATGTTACAAGATATATAATTTCATATCAAAAGTATAAAACTTTTACATACCTATCTAATTGATCATGATGGTATGGATTACTGGTTTTGATGTCTTCTTGTCTACAATGGAAGATAGGTTCTGAGGTCAAGAGCTCAGCAAATATACAACCTATAGCCCATATATCTGTGCAAGAAGAAAACGTATCATTAATCAATTGTTACACCTAATGAATCAACTAAAATATATTTACCTATAGCCTTAGTGTAATGCCTAGCACCTAAAAGTAATTCAGGAGCTCTGTACCAAAAAGTAACTACAACAGGATCTAAATCTGCCAATGGTTTTAATGGAGCATTAAATAAACGAGCAAATCCCATGTCAGCTATCTTAACACGGCCTCTTTCATTTCCTTCACCCATTACCAAAATATTTGCTGGTTTCTATGAATAACATTAAAATTTTATTATAATTAATATATTTTTTAGTGTATACATATGATAGAATATTACCAAGTCTCTATGAAGAACCCAATTAGAATGAAGGTAGTGTATGCCATCAAGAATTTGATATAACAATGATTTTACCATACTTTTTGGAACTAGAATTTGTTTCTTATTAGCTTTAGCAGCTCTATGGAATTTGATGATGTGCTGTGAGAATAAATTCATTAAGTATTTTTACTATAATATACATGTACAGTGACTGAATATGGATAGTAATTTTACCCATAAATCGTGCTCAGCAAAGTCAAATAGTAACCAAACTTTGCGATCGTTGTGTGACAAAAATACCCTGATGAGGGTGATGACATTTACATGTCTCAATTCTCGGAGCAACTGAAAATTTAAATCATTTACTTTTTAATCTATATGACAATTGATTATTCAGTTAATTAATCAAATAGAAACTTACAGTGATTTCTCTACAAGCTGACATGGATAGCCCTGTACCTTCAATTTGCTTTAGAGCAAAATCTTTGGTGTCTGGCCTACTTTTTAGTTCACTATCAGGTACACTAAAATCATTGAATTTCTAATTACACCATTGCTACATAATGAACATTGAATTAGGGCATCAAAACTCATCAGTGAACATTGCAAAAAATTTAGCTTTGCTCAATTCAACATTTTTGTAAATAAGAAATTATACAAAATTCAACTGCTCAGATTTTATGATTCATTAGATTTTTCACTGACACTGACAGTAGATTTCAAATCTTCGTAAATAATTACGAATAAAAAACATTCTAATGAAATTATTGCAAAGAAAAACTAACCCTTCTTTTCTTCGAGCCTTATAAACGTGACCATAAGTACCACGTCCGACTTTACAACCTTCGAATTCGAACAAGTCCTCGACTTTAATCCGGTCCTTTTGCGTCTTCATCTTAAATTCATAATCCATCATGATTTAGGATAAATAATAAAGAACCACAAAAAAGTTTTTTCACTCAATACAACGCTCCGATCAACCACACAAGCGAACACTTATCATCAGCATTTTCCCCTATGCTCGCGGAATTTTAGTTCGCTCTTCGGTCTGCAAGGCACAAAGCAGCCTATGCGAGGCGCATCAGTTGACAGAGTGCAGTGTTTATGATTGTGACAGTAGATCATAACCTTATAAAAACGTTGCTAAACAATAACACGCGCGTGTATATTGTCGGTGTGACAAATAATTTTAAGAAATACTGATTGATTAATCAAGACATTCTTTATTTCTTTCGCATTTCAAGTCCACAAACACAATGGTTGACGACAATCTATTAAAACTGGATTTGTATGCCATTATTGGCGCCGAAGATACAGCAACTGAAGCCGAGGTATTATACGTTACGAAAATATTTTGAATATCAATTAATTTTAATTCAACGTTACTCATATAACAAAATTTTGTAGCTCAAAAAAGCTTATCGTCAGAGAGCTTTGAAATGCCATCCTGACAAGAATCCGGACAATCCTAAGGCGGCAGAAGAATTTAGGCAATTAACAAAAGTCTTGGAAATTTTGACAGACGAAAAAGCAAGAGTAAGTACGAATATTTACAGTAATTTTGTATTGAACGTTTTAAAATAATTATTATAAATTTCACTGGCACATTATAAAATAATAATTATACATTTCACAGGCTTGTTATGACAAAGTTAGGAGAGCTAAAAAAGAAGCTCAACTCAGGCAGAAAGAGCTCAGTGCAAAGAGAAAGAAATTTAAAGATGATCTAGAAAGAAGAGAAGAAGCTTTCAAACAATCACAATCATCGAAAAAAAGACAATTTTCTCATTCGAGTTTTCAGGCTGAAGATGACGATGAATTAGATTTAACAAATGAAAGAAACTTGAAAGCTGAAATTGATCGATTGCAAAAAGAGGGCTCAAGATTAGTAGAAGAAGAACAAGAAAGACTGCGTCAACAAATACGAGAAGAAATAAGATTGAGTATGAATGCTGGAAGTCGTGGTTCAGGAGAATGTCTTGTCAAAGTAAATTGGAGTGTTTCACCAGACGATGAATCCAATGGAGGATATACTAAAGACTTACTTCACAGAATTATGTCAAAAGTGAGTAATAATTGATCAAAATTATTAAAACATTCAGTACTATCAATAAAATTTTAATTCAAAACAATTTTTTTAGCATGGAGAAGTATTGAGTGTTATTATATCCCAGAAAAAAGGAAGTGCTTTGGTAGAATTTGAAAGAAGTAACGATGCTGTAAGTAAACAACTAAATTGCATAGTTTCAAAAGTATTACATCATGATATATCATATATTTTAATTGTTTTCATGCAGGATGCTGCTATTAAGTATGAATTAGGTCTGGCTGAATGTCCTTTATCACTGAGGTGGGCTTCAGACAAAACAAAATTCCAAAAACAAAAATTGAATACATTTCCAGAAAAACTCTCAGCTGGATCTGCTTTTGGAATTTCACCAAAGAGTACTAGTTCTAAATCTAATTTCTCGCAATCTCTAAGTTTTTCTTCAGCGCCAGATATATTTGTAAGAATCATAATTAATTTAATATAAAATTTTAAGAAATTTTTCTAATTAACATAATATTGATTTTTAGAGTCAACAATCTCAAGATCAGCAATCAAATAATTATGAAGCGATGGTTTTAAACAAATTAAAACGAGAACAAGAACGCAAAAAGCTGATAGAACAAATGGAAAAAGAAGACGCAAATGCATAAAACGTTGTGTCGTTGTAAAAAGTGTATATTTTTAACAAATTACGTTCAGTTAAGGAATCATACTTTTTACGAAACATTCTGTACATAGTACATTTAGTTCACATTAAAAGTAATTGGAATATCAACTTTATTATATTTTCTTCATTTTCTTCATTGCTTCATCAATTGGAGCTTGTTTAACAAAAGGCAACTCCTCTTGATATTCTTCAGGCATCCATTTAGCTAAGACTTTTGGTACTTTAATTCCAGTCTCTGTTTGGTGTACTTCTAAAATTGCACAAATTACTCTTGTTGCTGCACACATAGTAGCATTCAACATATGAACATATTCTGTGGCAGCATTCATCTTTTTAGTTTGGCCATATCTACAAAGATCAAGTTAGTTAATATTTTTAGAAATAAGTTATTGTCTTATAATATCAGTAAATAATTTTAATCACCTGACTAATAGACGCCTAGCTTGATAATCTAAGCAGTTGCTGCACGATACAAGTTCTCTAAATGCTGCTGAACCAGGGAACCATGCTTCTAAATCAAGCTTCTTTGCAGCAGCGTTATTCAAAGCACCTGATACAATATTTACAATTCTGTAAGGAATATTTAAATCTTGATAAAATTCCTCTGCATTGCTAATCATTTCATCCATTGTTTCCCAAGATTTGTTATCATGTGGAGAAGTTAAACAGAATTGCTCAACCTAGAATAAAATTCTTCATAAATATATTTGATAAAAAAAATAAGAGGAGTAAATTTCACATACTTTTTCAAATTGATGAACTCTAAAAATTCCTCTAGTGTCTCTTCCATGCGAGCCAACTTCTTGTCTAAAGCAAGTTGAAATACCAGCATACTTAATTGGTAATTGTTCTTTAGCAATCCACTCTCCTCTGTGAAACGCTGCAATAGGTTGTTCTGATGTAGCAATAAGGTATTTTTCTTCTAGTTCTTTTTCATCACCCTTTTCACTACTCTTTCCTATTACCTGAATATTGAAAAAGTTATTATCATTTCATTTCTCATTAATTGTAAGGCCTTAAAATTGATTGATTACCTTGTATAATTCTTCATCGAATTGGGACAATTGTGCAACTTGCTGCATGGCATCTTTCCTCATGAAGAAAGGAGTGTACAAAGGCTTGTAGCCTTTTTTATGCAATTTATGAAGAGCATATTGAATCAAAGCGTGCTCTAAGAAAACAGCAGGTCCAGTTAAAAAGTATCCTCTTCCACCTGAAACTGCTACACCTCGATCTCCATCCATGCCATCGATCATGTGTATTAAATCTACGTGAGAGTATGTTTTCTTGATTGTAAGATCGCCAAATACTCGTTCAACCTGGATTAAAAAATAATAACAATATTAACGTCAAAGTCTAAATTGAAAATGCTGAGTAGTACGTGTTGTTGACCGGGCGATGACAGTCAGAAAAATCTGACGCAAGAATCGCCACAAACACAAACACTCGCGAGCGGAAGAGAAAGCCAGCCTCACTCACCCTATTCTCGTCCTCGTTGTTGCTGACCGGCACCGAGTCGTGCAGCTGATTGCCGACCTCGCGGAGGGCGTCGCTCCTCTGGCCGTCGTAGACGTTGAGCTCGGCGTCGTTCTCGAGGATGGCCTTGTCGATGAGCACGCGTATCTGCTTGATCTGGGCGACGTTGAGCTTTTGTAGGTTATCCACGGTGACCTGATTGTCGAGATCCTTGGCGATCTCAGCCGGCACCTCGGTCTCGTCGCCCTGGGGCAGCTTCTTCTTCATCTTCTCGCCGATCTGCTTGCTGCATAGGTTCTTGAGCTTGTTGAGATTGTCGGCCCGGTGACGCAGCTGTCGCCAGGTCTTGTCGCACTCGATGACTTTGTCGACGAGCTCGACGGGCGAGAATCGCTTGCGTTGATTCTCGCGCACCAGCTCCGGGTTGAAGCCCTTCTCCTCGCGAAACAGATCGAGATCCAGCACCATTTTGATGTATTTTTGTTGATTTACTGTTGTTTTTATCGCACGAACGTATACACACAACACGGCAAGACACAGCACTGCTGCGTCTGTTTCTCTGCCTATAATGTAGACCACGTGGAAACTGTAGTGTGTGCAGAAATGCCGCGACTGGATTTGTGCGACACCGTTGCGGCCGGCGGGGACTCTTCGTAGTACTGCGTGCAGGCGCTAAATTGAATTTAAGCGCCTATTGCGTTGCGGCGAACACCGCGTCTTTGACGAATTTCGTTCTATGTTTTTCATTTTTTTTATTTTTTTCCAGAAATAGGGTATCGCTAGTAGAAGGGAAGTAAAAATGTACAACACTTATGCTAGACTTTTAAATTACTTCTAAATCAGTTCGAGCAAACGTACAATCGAACGTTTAGTATTGATGTTATCGATGCGGACAGTTACAGAAATCAATCCCAATTTTGCCCGTTAAAATCGAATTATACCCGCGTGAATGGAACGGATGTACGTCATTCGTAACTCATATCCACACACACGCTCACGGCTACAAATAGCGAATGTGACTATTACAGAAAGGTGAATTACAGCGTTCACAGAAAGGCGAGATCGATTGATTTCCCGTTATTGAATATGACAATTCGGCATCGTCCACACACACAACAAACTCGGATCATTCATGGTATAATGTTTCTCTCCCGTCAATGGGTGTTGCGTGTTTTGGATCGCTTATACATTTCCAAAAAAAAAGAAAAGAAAAGAGGAAAGAATTATACGACACACCGATGACGTAAATGCCAGGCAGAGCTTGCAGAGAGTCACCGCTAGACCAAGTGAAAGGGGTGGAAAAGCGACCCTACTCGCGTAGATCGATATTAAATTTTCTCTCTCTCTCCCGCCAGCCTCGCAGTCGCCCTTTCATCCTCAGGTACGACTACGCACAAAGCCTTCGAGAGCTCAACCCTTATTCGTAATACCTTTGAAGATTTGCGTATAAGAGCGAGAAATGACTGACCTATTCATGTACGTTTCTGTGATTCGCAGGTGTTTGTCGGTGATTATTTGTAATTTTGATTATAATCGTTAAGTAAACTACCCGAAATTCGTGGAATAATCAAGGCTTTTATATTTTTACTCAAGCTCAACTTTACGTACACACATCGCGAAAAAAGCTCAGCTCGTGAATGAAGCACTATGCGGCCGCTGCGTAGTATACTGCGGAAACTACGTCGCGCACAGCTGCTCAAACACCTGGAGGAAGAAGAAAGAAATTTTCATTGGTAATTGTGAAACTACCGCGATAAACATTACGCAAGCTCGAGCTCCGCGCCATGTAGGCAACGACTTACGGCGTACTAGTGCTACATTTGCGCGTAAAACGGCTGCTGCTACTGCTGCTGGATGTGAAGCACCCCTTTTTTCACCACCAACACCCGTACTGGAGCAAAGTGAGGTCGAAAAAAAACGAGAGAGAGTTATAAAGTGTCGGCGAAAAAATGTTTGCACGCGCAGTCCCAGTGGCCCAGGCGCCAGCATCGATACTCGTCTCTCTTGATCGCGTATATGAATCACGAATATCTATAAAATATTCAGCTTGCGAAAAAATTGCTTACGTCCCTCTCTCTCTCTCTCTCTAGCACAATATATAAGCGTGTACAGTACGTATTCGCTCCATTAGTCCGGATCCTCGCTCGTGCTTCGAGCAGTGTCAAGCTCCATTAAAAATCCATGCAAACCCGTTTACTGCGAAAGCACAAAGTGCGGCCGCCGCCACCGCCGCGTTCGCAATAGCTCCTAGCGTACGTACACGCACATATTGCTCGAGCGAGCTTTTTTTCGTTCTCCTCCCCTCCGCACAGCCCACTTGCGCACTCCTGCGTGTGGCATATACATCGTACGTAACGTTGCGAGCGTCGATGAATCGCGAAAAATCTCAACGGTAATCTTGGTCCGATTAAAAATATGTCGACATAAAAAGCTCACGCGCGATCTCTATCCCCAGCTGCTGCTGCTGCTGCTGCAGGACAAACTACTTGTATACTGGGCGCGTACGCGCGTGCGACAGACTGCCAAGCGAGATTATGAGGCCATGGATTAATTAAGAGCCATAAAAGTGCAGCGCCAGCGAAATGTTGGCTGAATTTTTAAAAAGGCGAATAATTACTACGCGTTGCTTCCTTTTAGCGCGCCCCTCGAGGGAGCCAGAAATAAAGCTGCGACGACACTCGCTCGACCCGCGACGCGCGATCTGCCTCGACCTTCTTACAGAAAATTACTCGTTCGAGTTCACGCGCGTTCCGATTGCAGTACTCGAGAATAGTGCAATTGTCGTTGCGTTATAGTACTCGCACAGTTCGTACGACGCAAGTTCGAGAAACACGTGGGTGTTTTCGCAAACGCCGCGCGCCCCTTATACGTGTCTCTGTATGCAACGCTTGGCAGAGGCATATCGTAATCGCGCAGTTCTCGGAGCCTGCGAGCTCGCGAATTAGCGTTTCGTGCCACTTCCGGCCCCGTCTGAATACATCATTAACGTCGCGAGCGGCACCTATTCTCTCTATCTCTATCTCTCGCTTATTCTCGCGTAGCGTCAATTTTTTTCTCTCTACCTTTTCACTTCCTCGAAGATCGATATTCTCGAGCGTTGAAAAAGCGTTTTGTCGCTTGCTTTTCGTGCTTGCGGGCGCCAAGCGGGCTTGCGATGTTTGCATTCCATCGCCGCAGTGTAATGTAACATTTTTTTTTGCTTCGTATATTCGTCGACGCCGTTTGCCTTCCTTGCTTACCTGTTAATTTCCTGCTATATCTCTATACACACAGTCGATGTATTCGCCGATCGTTGAAATTGGAGAATTTTTTAAGAAAAATTTATACGCGCACGCACACCGCAAGCTCTCCACTCAGTTCGTCTGTAATATGGGTATATGGTTTCATGGATAGAAAATAAAAAAGAAGAGCAGCGCCAGCAGCTTTTATCTTTCTTCCTCTATCTTCGTTTTTTTTTGTGCATCGAACGCTTCGCACCGATTGGATATACACTTCGTTATTCGATTAATCTTTGTTTTCGCGAGCTTTGCACGAAATCGACTATATATCCCCGCAGCGCGCAGGAAAGCAAGGGTAAAAAAAGGAGATAGTTGTAAAAAAAAAGAAAAAGGAAAAAATAGAGGCAGGTTTTCTGTTTCTTCGCCGCATCTAGGTGCGCGCGTTATCCTACCTGTATATACCATGTAGTGCTGCACAGAGCAATATAGAGCGACAACGTCATTTCACGCTTCACTCATTACCTCATATTAAAAGTTACCACAACGTTATGATATATACTGCACAATATCATCGCAGTGCGCGGTGTAACGCATCTCTTTACGAGATTAAAATCTTTTCCGGATTCTAGAAAGAGATGAGAGAAAAGAATATATGCATGGAAAAGAGTCGCGCCCGAGTGATACTTTCAATTGTCGGCTGGCGGCTGGTGGCGGTAACGGCGGCGATAAGTAGCGAGTATTTAAAGGCCAGATGGGAAATCAAGTTTCACTATATGCCGAGGAAGCCGGCCCGTGCTCGCTCGTGCGAGCTCCGATTCCCCGAACGCCTGAAAGTTTCCCTCGCAAGCTGGATTGGCCTCTTTATATACATATACGCGTGCAATACGGAGAGAGACTGCTCGAGTGTCCCATCGCGACGTCGACGGCGGCCAACGTTTATACATCGTAAATATATAACCCAAGTCCATTTGAATTTCCATCTTAGTTTCGAAACGAGCTGAACGTGATTAAATAAGTGAGCGCTCGACGTGATACTTAGCAGTAAGTGCGTACGAGTTCGGTACGGGGCTATATCGCTCTATACCGTATCGAGCTGCGGCGCATCTTCACGACTCGACCGTGGATCCCGCAAAAGGAATACATGCATGTAATATATATCGGTGATTCGTCGATTCGGGAATACATGTATGAATATCGTATTACGGGTCCGTCACTTTAATGACAAAGTTATATATGCGATACGAGACTGCAATACGTATGTATACGAATATGCACGTGAATTATTCAAAGCTCGACGATATGATTGCTCGACTCGTTAATTTTCCAGGTCGGGCTTCGCTGTCTACAGGGGTTAGAAGAGTAATGTATATATACGTGGAATTTGATAAATAAGGCAAAATCTAAGGACTGATGCGACGGAACGTGTAGATACTATACTTCAAGTACACATGTCGGAGTATGTAACGGATTCGCACGCGCGATTAATTAAATTAAATTTTCCAAGACGTTCGCTCGTCGACGCGCGAGAAAACAACAAAAATAACAACAACCGCCAAGAGTACGTTTGTTATAATGAACGCGCCCTTAATTCGATACATACCAAGTGCGAATTCGCGAGAGAGAGAGAGAGAGAGAGAAGAAAGAAGTAATGCGATTTTTATGTAATTTTGATTAGATAATCCCTTTAGGAGCGATAAAAGATATAAGCTTTTATTGACGCGCGATCAATCGGAAATTTTTTTCTCTATATACGTTGCGCGATATGTATAAATACATTTTCATTTCCTCTGCAATCGTCCGGCGCGCGCGAGCTTCTATCGAGAACTATTAATCTTGTGTTTTATCCTTTTCACTCTCGTTATACGATATAATGCAGATATTCGAGCGCAGCTTTTTCTCTCCGAGAGTCATTCGTATATTGAATAAAATATTTAACGACCCGCGGGGATTTATTAATCGCGTGTACACACACGAGCGTGGTGAAAAAGAAGGTGACGACTTATTTGCACCGTTAAAAATATTTACATTAAAATTATTGTTAGTGAGGAATCACCAACTTCAAGTTAGAGTATAAACACAGTGCTGTGACTTATACAATTATTTTGACTTTGTCACTTGCAGATTTACATATAAAGATACTCGCCATCTAGCGGCGGAGGCTGATTTAAACTAGGATTGAATTTTCATGAATTTTTGGAGCGACGCATCAAGTAAATCGGTACTTTCATTTATGTTAAATGAAAATGTTTAAATTTGAGCATGTAATGAATCATTTTTCGTTCATTTTTATTTTAAAAATAATGCATACGATTGCATTTTCATGACCGAATATTTCATGTAAAAGTACTTTAAATGAAATTCAGTAT